TGCAAAGGTACCATACCACAAAGGGAAGGCTGGGGTTGATGATGGGGGTAATTGCCTCAATATTTTAGGAAAAAGGGGCAAAAAACAAGCATTTTTGTAGTTTCAGGACAATAACTTGTGTGTAAGTGTATGGATCTTTATGAAATTGTACTACAAGGTTCCATATCACAAAGGGAAAGCTGGGTTTGAGTTTGGGGGTAATTGCCCTAAACGTTTAGGAATTTGGGGCCAAAAAGGGGCCAAAAAACATATTTTTCTAGTTTCCAGACAATAACTTGTGTTCAAGTGTATGGATCTCTCTGAAATTGTACTGCAAGGTACCATACCACAAAGGGAAGGCTGGGATTGAGTTTGGGGGTGATGAATCATAAGGGGGTTCAAAAAATTTGGGGGGGGGATTTTTTTTTTTTTTTCCTTTTTTCTTTCTTGTAAAATTTTCCATTTCAAGTTGGTTATTTCTGATTTATATTTAAAAGCAAATAATAATGATATGGTAGGAGATACACACCAAACAGGATGTGTAAATTATTATATAATAAGTATTGTGCAATAGCAAGAAATTTTCAATTGCACAGTATTGTACAATAGCAAGAAATCTTCAATTGCACAGTATTGCGCAATAGCAAGAAATCTTCAATTGCACAGTATTGCGCAATAGCAAGAAATATCCAATAGCACAATATTGCGCAATAGCAAGAAATTGTCAATTGTACAGTATTGCGCAATAGCAAGAAATATTCAATTGCACAGTATTGTGCAAAAGAAGATACTTCCTATAAATTGCTTATTTCTTGACCAATTTCAATGGGGTTTTATTCTTGAATTCTTGGGGTTCTTTAATATGCTGAATCTAACCGAGTATTAAGTTTTTGGATTTTGGGCCCCGTTTTTAAATTGGTCCACATTGAGGTCCAAAGGGTCCAAAATTAAACTTTGTTTGATTTCATCTAAAATTGAATTATTGGAGTTCTTTGATATGCCGAATCTAACCCTGTATTTAGATTCTTAATTTTTGGTTCCGTTTTCAAATTGGTCTACATTAAGGTCCAAAGGGTCCAAAATTAAACTTAGTTTGATTTTAACAAAAATTGAATTCTTAGGGTTCTTTGATATGCCGAATCTAAACATGTATTTAGATTTTTGATTATGGGCCCAGTTTTCAAGTTGGTCCAAATCGGGGTCCAAAATTAAACTTTGTTTGATTTCAACAAAAATTGAATATATGGGGTTCTTTGATATGCTGAATCTAACCATGTATTTAGATTTTTGATTTTTGGGCCCCGTTATCAACTTTGTCCACATTGAGGTCAAAAGGGTCCAAAATTAAACTTTGTTTGATTTCATCAAAAATTGAATTCTTGGGGTTCTTTGATATGCTGAATCTAACCATGTATTTAGATTTTAGATATTGGACCATAATAGGTGAATGTCCAATTTAAAATTTTTAAGTTCATAGACCACATTCATTCTGTGTCAGAAACCTATGCTGTGTCAAATATTTAATCACAATCCAAATTCAGAGCTGTATCAAGCTTGTATGTTGTGTCCATACTTGCCCCAACTGTTCAGGGTTCGACCTCTGCGGTCGTATCAAGCTGCGCCCTGCGGAGCATTTTATTTGTGTCTAGGGCAAAAAATAAAGAATATATTGAAAAACTGTAAACAGAAAAAATAATAAGATCAACAAAATGAGATTTTTGTCATGAATTCTATTCTAGCCCACAATTGGAGTGTGTCATTGTTGAAGATGCCAAACTGCCACTATGTGATCACTCCAGATTTTATGATGGTGCAGAATATGAATGGAAGGCATATCATGAAACTAATGATGTGTAAATGACTTGTACAAAATATAAAACATCAGTTGACATTATTTTCTACAAATCTTTGACATGTAATTTGCCTTTAAATTAAAAAGAGAGCTTCTAAATTGTAAATAAATACACTTGCATAAAGTTTCTTTGTAAATCAAATTTATAAATGATGACTGTTTATGAATTAATGTGAAAAGGGAAGAAATCAAATTTAAGCAGTTTATAAGAATTATAAAAGTGTTTAAGCATAATCTAATGCTTGTATATAAAATTTGTTACAATCTGTGTATTGATACATTTTTTGTAGCAAAGTGGACTCCCCCCACCCTTTTAGATACTATTGTTCCAATTCTTTCCTAGGACATAGAACTCACCAATATTTGCAATAGAAGATCAGTACATTTAATTTACTTATTTCTGAAAATAAAACCATATGAACACACTTTTACATGTAGCAATATATTCTTACAGAATAATAAAGTGTATTAGAAAATAACAATAACAAGAAATAATAACATAAAACCATCAACTTAACAGCCATTGACAGCACTACATAATAACAAGCTTTCTGTGAGTATTGCATGGCAATACATAGTCCCCTACTGGATTAAAATTCATTGTATTGGAACAAAATTCTAACTTGATCTATAACTTATCATGGTGTAAACTATATAACAAATATCAAGTCAATATCTTCAAGCATGACGAAAACTGATTATTTTAGTGAATTTTCTAAGTCCAAGGACCATAACTCTGCACAAAATCATCAGACCGGGACAAAATTCGAACTTGATCTGTAACTTGTCATGATAAAACAATAAACCAAATATCAAATCAATATCTTCAAGCATGAAGAAAAAAGTGGAAAACGGATTTGCCGCACTGACGAACACACAAATGCAATATACATGTACATGTATATTATTGTTGATTCATTTATGTAAGTGGGTACATGTACTCATTTTCGTGGATGTAAAAATCATATTTTCATGTACATTTAATTTCGTGGATTTCCTAAAGTCAGCCTCTTCAGTAGTGTGTTAAAGTTCTATCTAATAACTATAGAGATGAGTAGTAGCAATTTGCAAAATGATTATTCAGTGATACTTTTCAAAGGTTTTTTTAATCCATTTTCATCCAATCATTTGCCATTGCTTTCCAACATACTTGCAGACATTGCCTTAGTTCAAGGTATATTCATGTATTGTTACAGTATTGTTTTATGGAAATGTGTTGTTCTAATGTACATGCAGATATTGTTAATTAATCCCCTACCGACGAAGTCGAAGGGGACTTTAGGTCTGTCTGTCTGTCTGTCTGTCTGTCTGTCCAGCAAATCAGTTTTCCACACATTTTTTCTTCGTGCTTGAAGATATTGATTTGATATTTGAGATATAGTTTTATCATGACAAGTTAGAGATCAAGTTCGAATATTGTTCCAGTCTGATGATTTTGTGCAGAGTTATGGTCCTTGGACTTAGAAAATTCACTCAAATAATCAGTTTTCCACACTTTTTTTAGTCAAGCTTGAAGATATTGATTTGATAATTGGTATATAGTTTTATCTTGACAAGTTACAGATCAATTTTAAATTTTGTTCCGGTCTGATGATTTTGTGCAGAGTTATGGTCCTTGGAATTGGAAAATTCACTCAAATAATCAGTTTTACTCACTTTTTTTGTCATGCTTGAAGATATTGATTTGATAATTGGTATATAGTTTTATCATGACAAGTTACAGATCAAGTTCGAATTTTGTTCCGGTCTGATTATTTTGTGTAGAGTTATGGTCCTTGGACTTAGAAAATTCACTAAATAATCAGTTTTTCCCACTTTTTTCGTCATGCTTGAAGATATTGACTTGGTATATGTTATATAGTTTTCACCATGACAAGTTATAGATCAAGTTAGCATTTTGTTCCAGTACAATGAATTTGTAACCGGTAGTGGACTATGTATTGCCATTCAATACTCTCAGAATGCTTGTTTACCTAAAAAAGGATACTAGACAATCGTCTTTTTGAAATTTATTTTTTGATCTAAATTGACTTTTAGTAATTATTGTGAAAAGAAAAACTGTAACCATTAATCCTGTGTAAAGCAGTTGTGTAAATATTTCTTTATTAAACATTTTGAAAGATAGTGATAATTCTAACTGTATTGAGAGAGAAAAATTCCGTATATTAGTTGTTTTTTTCGTAGTAGGTGTAATAACACCCTGAATAGTAGCAAACTGCATGTCCAAATCAATATACAATAGATTTAATTGTCACATTTGGTGAGTTAATGAAGAAACAAATGAATATTTTATGACATCTCTAATGATTACGTTTGAAGATTAATTTCAACAATTTACCTGGGAATTCACTGACATTATGAAGGAAACTTATTGTAATAACAAATAAAATACATGTTTTTCTAGGAATAAAATAATTTATATCCAGCAAAATAAAAATTCAGGATGTAGAAACATGATAGAGGTAAGACACTAAAAAAATTAACAAAACATTTAAAAATAATTGTCAAAAAACCATTATGAATTTAAAAAATAATTTGATTTATGAATTGATATTTAATTGTATATTAAAAATTTCAGTACTTTGTTTTGGTTCATACTTCATCATGTTCATGAAAAGTACTGTGCAGCTTCACACAATTAAGCTAGTGAATAAATGAATGGTCCAGTGTTCCTTCTCATCCCATGGCCAATTTACCTTCATTGTGATGTGATGCTATCTGAAATTATTTTTCATATTGACATTTCCACTTGCAACATATAAACAACCAAAATGAGGAGCAAGTGCAGAAAACTTATTTTAATAAGTTTGAGTTTTTATGCTGTTGTCAGAAATGATCATGGGTACACAGTGATCTTCATCAAGTTTATGTCATGCCCATCAGTTCATTTATCCATTACATTCTTTGTTTCTGGATGATGATTTATAACTTCTTACTTTCCTATTAAATAAACTGATTTATATGAGAAGCAGGGGTATCTGTGATCTTAACATCCTTAAGATCACTTCACTCTTGTTAATCTATAGTAATGCAAGAAAAACTTGAGAAGAAAAGGAACAATATAGTGTTCACACAGATTGTGTGCTAGTTCTTATTTGATTGCATTGAAAATGCAATTTTCAAAGACCTTTTCTTGAAAAATATCTTATTCAATGTTTTTTTATTTCAGAAATAAACGAACAAGATGGCAACTGAAATGGAAATTGACGATTCCCTTTACAGGTAGGACATAATTTTCTAAACTTGTTTGTTGAGGATATGTAAGCACAGTAAGGTAATTGAAATATAATTGTAATGAAATAGTTGGGTTATGGAAATGAATGATTGATTATTGTTTGTTTACTGGTAATTGCTGGTGGTAAATGGTTCATGCATGTTCTGGACAAGGTCAAATGAAAAAAAATTCCAAGATAGATTCAGGAAAGAAATTACTTCGGATGAAGGATGGGAAACATAAACTGCCTTTAGAAAAAGGAGAAATTGGATATGGAAATTTTACTTGCAACAGACTATCTAGAGATGTTGCAAGTGTTTGCTAAATTGCGAAGAATATCACACTCTCCCTACAATTTTATGTTTCTGGTCCTGCCTTGAATAAAGTTTACATGATTTATATAAGATAAAGAAATATATGTAGGTTTATAATTAAAATTATATGAACATTTAATTAATATTTCATTTCAACATGTTCAATGTGAAAATGCTTTACAAAATCAAAGTGTATATCATGCTGGCCATTAAGGGCCCTTAATTGGAAAATAAAAATATTTGTATTATAATCTATAAATGGGGACATATGTATGTTGCTATATTCTGTTTATCGATAGCAGAACTTTTATTATATTTTAGCTCTGCCTTGGAGGGGAAAATTGAACTAGACATTTGTTCTGAATTTAAGAAAAAAAATTAAATTGAGAAAGTGGTTTTGAAATATTTTTTTACATAAAATCTCTGAACATTTATAGTGTCTTCTAAGAATTGCTATGAATTGTTATATGTAAATACCATACATATTTTGATGATATTCAATACCTTTTTTCAGTCGTCAGAGATATGTTCTTGGGGACCATGCCATGAAGAAGATGGCTTCTTCATCAGTCCTAGTTTATGGAATGGGTGGAGTAGGAATAGAAATTGGTAAGATTTCTTTTGAAATTTACCCTTCAATTTAATTAAGCTTGTCTGACATGTCTGACTAGGCATTTCACATTGTCATCAAATATATATCTCTGTGTCAGAGAATTATACATCAACATGTTCAGATTGATGAAAAATATTCTAATCAAGGTCTTAATTCAAAATATTTAAACTATCATCTTAAAAAAAAATATTTGAAAAATGAACAGTTTATATTTATGTTAATAATGTCAAATAAATTCTCAGTCTTGGTTTATAATTATTAATATGGTCGTAATGATATTATAAGATTTTAGAATATATTTAAAATATATCTATATCAAATTAAATTATTAAAGTTTTTGTAATGAAATTGTATATTTCAGCTAAGAATATTGTCCTAGCGGGAGTAAAGGTGAGTTTGATTTTGTTTCAATCTTTTCACTATCGATACAATTCTATAAAATTTTAAGAGCTTCTTAATTATTTTTATAAGTTACACCCGACGTCAGACATCTTATTTCATGTTTAATATAACACAAAAATATACACTAATTCAATCAAGGAAGGAAATGAAACAACTGATAACAGGAACAAAAAATAAATTAAGATGTAATTTATGGGCATTTGTGTCATTGAATTTATCACCTTTTGTGTCAAGTTGACATATATTTATATACACCACATCTCCTTTCATAACAAAATAAAGTAAAGAATGGTGACCTGAAAACTGGCGTAGTACCTGTGAAAAAAAGGGGAATGATTTTTCATGTAACTGTGGGTCATGAAGACTTAAGATTGTATAACTTCTATTAGGGTAACTCAAAAAGTAGTTCTGTTGAGACCATACCAACCCTACCATGTTATTTGCCAGTGATGAAAACTAAGGATGAATCAAACTTCTATGAAAGATGTGAAATCCATATTACTTATTGTTGCAAAAAGAAATAAGGGATATATGGTGCACAATTGTCATGATAATTCAAGTAAATTAATCAAATAAAAAATGAAATGAGATGTGGGGTGTACACAATGAGACAGCAACTCAATGACAAAAATAAAAAGACATCTGGAGGGCAACATATACTGTAAATTCAGAAATTTATAGCAGTACATATTTGTACTGATAGTCCCATTATGAATACAAAAACTGCTTGTTTATCTTTTTTGAATGTAAAAAACATCTTAAAGCAGAGCCATTGAATTGCATAATTTTCATAGCTTTATTGGTGAATTTGAATTTCTACTAATTTTTCTTATTCTATATACTAAAGGCTCTGACTGTTCAGGATGGAAATGTCAGTACTATACAGGATTTGGGGACACAGTTTTTCTTAAGGGAGGATGATGTTAAGCAACAAAGAAATAGGTAATGAAAATATATATATACATATAAATGATTTTGTAATTGTTAGTACATTTTGTACTCTACAATTATTGCCTTGTGATATGTAAATGTATAATTGAATATTCCTCTGAAAATTTGATGTTCATTGAGGTTAATTGTATCATTTATTTGCCAAATCTAAAGACATTCATTGTTTTATTGGTATACTGAATGGAAAATATATATAAAGTGCAATCCAAATTTATTTGTTTTGCATATTGATAAAAATGGAGGAAGCCGGAGTGCTTTGAGAGAACCTGTTCGGAAGGAAAACCCACATTCCAGGTGGATCCAAGATTGGAGTCGAACTCTCCTGCCATGTGTGGGACTCCAACTCACAACCTCAGTGTTGACAGGCTAGTGATACAGTAGTTGAACTACTTAGACCACTCAACCACCGAGGACCTGAGATGTCATTTGACAGCAACCCCTCAAACCCAATAAACTAAAAAAGACTTCTACGTGGCAATAAATGGTCTTCAACAATAGACAAGTGTTAATGTCATATGTCTGGTCTGAATGGTCCCAACACCAACACAAGTTATGAATAAGAAAGAAATCTTTAGAGTGAATAAGCTTTTTATTTTGGTTGAGTTTATTCAATATTTTCAATCAAATAGGGAAAACAAATTCTTATGTAAACAATAGCTAAATAACATTCCAAAACACGTGAACCATTTATGATTTGTATTATTCAGGGCAGAAGCCAGTGTGAACAGACTTAGTGAACTAAATCCTTATGTCAGCATGAATATTTTAACATACAGTATTGAAGATTCTACAGATTTAGATTACCTTAAACAATACCAGGTAAACAGTCGTTGACCTACTATTTCTTGATAGTTCACATTATGTTAAATTTCGATTAATATTTTTTTGTCAGTTAAATGGATGTAAGAAATGATTTCCAAACTAATATCAACGCAAAATATAATATTTGAATGAAACATGAAGGAATTTGATAAAAGATAGAATTGAATGAAAGGAAGTTTTTAGTCTATCTGCAGTGAGTCATTCTACTATATTTAAAAAGTCACTACAGATACCTGACTGAAGTTATAAAGCATATATCTCAAATCCCATTTGCATTTTAATATCTGTTTTGTTTAGCCTTTTCTCAAGCTCTACTAGATTGTTTGACAAAACATTGTCAGTACAATATCTGGGATATCATGATATTGTGTAATGGGCTTTAAATTTGATATCTAAATACATTATACAAATTTTACTTGTGCATTTAAAAACAACAATACAACATTCTCAGTAATACATGAGCCACATTTTAATATAATAATTCACTGTTTATACTCATTTTACTTCCATGATAAGACACATACAATGTTATTTTGACCATCTGGTCCTTACCCAATGAATATGTTAATATGGGTTGTGATTGATTGTTAGTTGTTTACTTAATGTTCTGTGGGATCGGTTCTGATGTAAAAGTTCAATTGATAAAAGTTTATTGTTTTCTTAATGTTTGGATTAGCCAAATTCCATTATATCTCTTAGCTCAGTTGAATTTGATAATTTCAGACACAGTCGTATGTTAATTTAATGTTTTCTTTGTTTCAGTGTATCATATTAACAGAATTACCACTCAGTTTACAACTGAAGATAAACAAATTTTGTAGAGAACAATCTCCACAAATAACAGTAAGTGATTATGTTTATTCCAATTTTAATGATATTTACACCCAATGTCATATATATACAAGTGTTAAAAATATTGTTCTTACTACACAGTACTGGTCATTTAAAGAAGCAGGATTGACAAGGCAGTTGTGTTCCCTTTTTCTAGCTACAATTAGTTTTTTTCAAGAGACATATCACATTGAGTCAAAATTTAAACAATGACTAGTTAGGAAGAAGGTGTTTTTATTAAAAAAATAATGTTTTAATGTTATTTTAATGATGTCACAAATAGCACATATTTTGAGATATCATGAAATTTAATAATAAAAGGTAATTTCCATTGATATTTAGGACCGTAAACATACAGAGCATGTGTCGAAAAAGTAGATCTTTTAACTTGATGTTTGATATAACAAATTATATATCTGACTTGAATATCTAGCGCTCTATGTTTCCTAGGCCTAAATGGGGTTGAATTACAATTCATTTCAAATCTGACTTGCACATAAATCTTTGGCCTGTTAGAGGTATAAAGGTTTTAGAAGAAGAAAAAATAATTCTATTTCACCTTCTAACATGTCTATTCATCATTTTTAAACAGTGGACTTGATATTTGGGGCCCTTTCCAAACTTACTCCCTTGGATTTTAAATCTATTAAAGCTATTTAAACAGTTGTTAGCTTTTGAAATCAATATTTCTCAGGTGAGACGGCTTGCTTAAGGAGACTTTATCTAAGATTTACTTGAGTTCCCCTTGAGCAAGTCTGGTTCAACACCTGATATTTACAACATAAAATTGCAATAGAGTTGTACAGTTGAAAGGATGATTGAAGACTGAATAATGTCCAGCGTCAAATTAAATGTATATTCAGGACAAGAACATGTTAATGTAATATGAATATTAACCCTGCTTTGTACTAGACCGATACACTGAGCAGTATTTTTAACTTGCTAGTTCACAAGGTAACAGTCCGTGAAAGACATGTCATCTTACCTGGACTCACTATTCTAACTTCGAGTCGACCAGTCTTTGCTCTTACTTCTAATGCTTTTGCTTAAAAGAGAAGCTGCAGATACCAATTTTAAAAAAGTGTTTGGTTTGACCTGGCCAGGGTTCAAACCAACAACCTCCCGCACTTGAGGCAAACACGCTACCTAGAGACCACTCAGGCGGTCAATTTAAAGAAAATTGGTTAACAGTAGTAGAAGTTTGGTGTAAAAAACTTAATGATTTCAGGCGGAACAGATTTCAGAAAATCATGCAGAAAAATTGGACCTTGAGGTAGACATATGATACTTTGTTGTGTGTCCAACTTACCAATAAAAAAGATGCTTATTATATTATGTAATAATTGTTTATATGGTAATAATGGTATTTTGCATATTATATCTTGTTTACAGTTTATAATGAGTAAGGTGAATTGTTTTATTACAGTTTATAAGTTGTGATGTATATGGTGTATTTTGTTCAGCATTCTGTGATTTTGGTGATAGTTTTGAGGTAACAGATATTAATGGAGAAGAACCAAGAGACATATTTATAGAGAGTATATCTAAGGTATGCTATATGAACTTTACAAAATTCCATCTCCATAAGACACATGGCATAAATCATCTTTTTGTCAGACACCATTTGGTATGTTTTTATGCATTGATTGCATCTGGTTTTTATGTACTAGCAATATCAAAAATAGATACAGATTAATATTTAAATATTTCACACCTTTATCATGTTGTAAATGGGAGACAACTCTAGATCCAGAATTTTTTTTTCAGCAGCTTAAGAGGGGTGCATGCAACACATCATCTCTGTTTGAACTTTGGCACTGTATATGAAAAAAATTGAACATAAACTGATTTCAAATGCATACAAAAATTCAATGCTTGCTGTCTGTATGAATTTTTTAATTATGCCCACGCCGTAGTGGAGGGGGCATTAAGTTTTACCCTTGTTCGTCTGTACGTACGTACGTCCCAAAATTGGTTTCCGTTCTCTAACTTTAGTTTGCCTCAACCAAATGTTATGAAACTTGTACACAATGCTTATTACCACAAAACACAGATCAAGTTTGAATTTTGGTGGCATCACTTTTACCGTTCTAGAGTTATGCCCCTTTACAAATGGAAAAATTGCTGAATTTTTTCGTTTCCATTCTTTAACTTTAGTTTGCCTCAACCAATTGTTATGAAACTTATACACAATGCTTATTACTACAAAACACAGTTCAAGTTTGAATTTTGCGTCACTTTAACCATTCTAGAGTTATGCCCCTTTAGAAATGGAAAAATTGCAAAAATTTTATTTTCTTCTAAATATCAAGTAATTTTATTAAAATTGGAGTTATCTTCCTTTGTCCATGATTATAGTTGAATCAACTACAATCAATGATTTATACAATGCAATGTTTAATTTTGACTTCCACTGATAAAACACAGATCAAGTTGAATTTGGGTAGTGTCACTTTAATCATTATTGAGTTATGCCCCTTTATAAATCGAAAGATTGCAAAATTTTTAGTTTCCATTCTGTAACTTAAGTTTGCCCCAACCAAACATTATGAAACCTATACACAATATTCATTACCACAAAACTAATATCAAGTTCAAATTTTTTGTTTTCACTTTCTAAGTTTAGTTTGCCTCAACCAAATGTTATGAAACTTATACACAATGCTTATTAGTACATAATACAGATTAAGTATGAAATTTGGTGGCAACACTTTTACCATTCTTGAGTATGTCCCTTTATAAACATAAAAATTGCTGAATTTTATGTTCCGTTCTCTAACTTTAGTTTGTCTCAACCAAATGTTATAAAACTTATACACAACCGTTCTAGAGTTATGCGTGTTTACAAATAGAAAAATTGCTGAATTTTTAGTTTCTGTTCTCTACTTTAGTTAGCCTCAACCAAATGTTATGGGACTTACACACAATGCTTATTACCACAAAACTCAGATCAAGTTCAAATTTTGGTAGCGTCACTTTTACCGTTCTTCAGTTATGTCCCTTTATAACTATATGATATGCAAGCGGGGGCATCATCTGTGTCCACATGTGGACACTATCCACATTTATTTGATTATCTGAAAATCATATACATGTTGTCAGGTTTAAAAATATGAAAAAATAAGTAAACTGAACACTTTCACAAACCACTGATAACTGAAGTCTATGCAAGTAGTTTGTTTAAATATCTCATATAACAGCAGGGCTATAAAATTGACAGAAAAGATAACTTTCAGACTCTTCTAATTTAACTCGGTAACTTAGTCTGAAAACAGAAGTGAAATTAAATTTTAATGATATTATGCTTAATATTTTTAGTGAATTGTTCCAACATAGGCATTCAATTTGTGTCTCTTTATTTCTAATTTATATGAAGAAGATGCAAAATCAAATGAATAAAAAATTGCAGATGTATGTATTTTGGGGGATATTTGATTATAGGTAAATAGTCTTGAAGTTATCAGAGTGGATTCAACATCTTTTTTCTTTAATACTATTAAAGATTGGAATGCGCTTCCAAATGATATAAAATTAATACATGACCATTCAAAGCTGCAGTAAAGCAACATCTGAAAAATAAGAAAATTTGTATCTTTATATGTATTAATACCATGCCTCCTCTTAATTTCTTAATTTTCAATTTAAGTGTTGTACATTTTAAGGACCCAATTGGAAATAAGCAGAAACTCTTTCTAGGGTTATCCTTGGAAGGATATCAACTTGAGAGTGCATTTTGGCATTACTGTATTTGTTTTATTATATATTTTTAATTACACATATTTTTAAGCTGTACTTGCATATAGTTGATATTGATTCCTAAATGAGTTTTACTTTTTACCTTGAAGGATAATCCTGCTTTAGTTACAATTTTACAAGTACGAGAGAAAACACATGGTCTAGAAGATGGTGATGTTGTAACATTTAGGGAAGTTAATGGAATGACAGAAATTAATGAGAAACAATTTAAAATATCAGGTAAGAATATCAGAATATTTATAGACTATAGGCTATCAGCAAATTACCTCTGATTTCGGTTTTAGCTTGATTATGCAATGTACACTTAAGTTCATATGGATGTTTCTTTTTCTACCTTTTTACAGTGTCCACAAAAACTTAATCTTTTATTAAAAAAAAATATTGTATTAAAATGTTTGCATGCTGTCTTTCGTGTGTTTTCAATAAAAGCAAAATAAGTCTGTGATTTGCAAAGACTCTCAGATGGTGATGTTATAACATCCCATTTACTCACCACTAGATACCACAAGCCATTTACTCACCACTAGATACCACAAGCCATTTACTCACCACTAGATACCACAAGCCATTTACTTACCACTAGATACCACAAGCCATTTACTCACCACTAGATACCACAAGCCATTTACTTACCACTAGATACCACAAGCCATTTACTCACCACTAGATACCACAAGCCATTTACTCACCACTAGATACCACAAGCCAATTACTCACCACTAGATACCACAAGCCATTTACTTACCACTAGATACCACAAGCCATTTACTCACCACTAGATACCACAAGCCAATTTTGTGTAATTGTAAATATCAGCACAGACACAGTACACATGTGGGGTGATTTTAGGTTTTCAAGTTAAAAAAGAATGCTTTTTGAAATCCGTTTTATAATTATTTACTTTTTTTCAACAAAAGGTTGGTTTTAAAGGAAATAAATTACTTAGAGAAACTCCAATTTAATTGTTTATATATTCTAGAATGTGTTTTGTAATTTAATATTGCGTGCTGCAATACAATTAATTGTCAAGGTGACTCACCTGGGGTCTACTCTGTATAAAGTCAAAGAAAATATATCACACAGTAGTTAATGAAATTACCTGATCATCCAAGCATTTTGTTTTTCAATAGTAGTATCTTTTATTTATCTATTCAGGTAGATTCACTGTATAGTATACTGCCATCTTGGATTGTACAATAGAAGTACACAATCGGTCTTGTTCTTTGCCTAAATCTACAAATTTTGAGACAGATTTGCACTTTATGTGGAAAACTGTTTATGTATAAAGAAAAATAAGTGATTTATTGTATAATCCAAAATGTTTAAACTAATAACAAATATTTGTGCTTTTTAGAATCAATTTTTTAAATTAGCCATTTAAGGGCAGATAACTCCTACAGTAAAAATTCTATACTAGAATGATAGTGAAATTTTCATTTTTTACTTGTAGCAAGAAAACAAGTTCAGTGACACCCTTTTTTCTCTTTATTTTCTTAAAGCATATTATAAAACCTATCTTCTCATATTTTTTTTCAAAATTCTATCTCATAGATTTCTTTTTATTCACATAAATGTGTTTTTTCATGAACAATCTATGCAAATTTGGGCAATTTTGCATGACTTGTAGCTTGAAAAATAGCACGGTGACCCATACTTTTTAATATATTTTTGAAAAAAGCATGGTAAAATCTTCATTTTGGCAAAGTATAAAAATTCTATCTGAGGAAATATATACCGATGATTCACCTTAAAACGAACCAGAATAATTGTAATAATTAATGAAAACAAGGATTGATTTTATTTATTTTCAGTAAAATCTCCAGAATCGTTTACAATAAACTGTGATACAAGTAGTGATGAGTTTTCACCATATACACATGGAGGCAGAGCCATTCAGATCAAAGGTCAAGTCACATTAAAATATGTAAGTAAAGTTAATGGTCATTTTTGCATAAAAATTTGACTATTTCAGTTTAGCAACAACACACATTTCATTAATATACTTGTAGCATGACATAAGGAAAATCTGCTAAGAACATTTTGACATGTCTTTGGCAATAATGGTTTATTTTGGATGCACCACACATTTCCGTTTTATTGGTGTAGGCATATGGATTCCACACATTCTAGTTTAGTGTCAATCGTATCAACAGTTTTAAAGGAATTGGTTGATTGTCATTGTAAGCTGAAGTATGACATTAGTAGGACCAGTCAATAAAATCCAGAATAATGGATGAGATCACCAACAAACAAGGTAATCTATTTTCCCACACTGAATGATTTTGCTTTGACTACAAACTAAACAGTAGATGTATTTAGGTTTCTTAACTAAAATTTTTTGTATTTCTAAATCTGCTATGGAAGCTCTATGAAATTTTGTCTCCAAGATTACCTATAGAAGAGTCAGGTATCATAACCTAAAACCATAAATTTTCGAAATATTTGTACAAAAAACTTGACTACAAACTTTTAAATTCTATGATTTATTTTTTAGGAAAGTCTTGAAAAACAGTTATATGATCCCAAAATCTTAATCTGTGATCTTAGTAAATTTGAGGTATGATTTATGTAGCAATTTTTAGATTTTATTTCATCTTTATATACATATTTAAATTCCAGCTTAGGAGTATACCGTATACATCTGAAATATTGGGTATTACAGTGTCTTGTAATTTCTAGCATTTGTCTATTAATGATGTCAAACAAAAGAGAAAAAAATGTTTCAATAGGTAATCAAGTGGAATGCAATTTGAAGATCTGCTTACAGTTGTGAATGCTTTCAATTTTGTTAATTATAAAATAATCCTGTAAATAAATAGTAATATACGAAAACAGAAATGTCTAAAATACTAAATACTTTAACTGTACAAACAAACACCAACCAACTTGCTTAAGACAGCAATCTAATGACACAAAAGACAACTAGACTAAAAAATCAATTTTTGTTCAATGTGAATCACAATGTTTAATTCTATTGTGAAAAATTTACAGCTTTTGTTTACATTTAATTTGGTTTTACAGGCCCCCAGTTCTATACACTTGGGATTTATGGCACTTCATAAATTTAGGAAAGAAAACAACAGATTACCAAATGTTTGGTAAGTAAATATTATTGAAATTATCAACCTTTAGGTAAAGACAGTTGCATAAAAAAGATTTATGGGAGATGTTGGGTACATGTCAAAGAGACATAAGCCAAGTATACCATAGAATAAAAAAAACATCTAGAGGTTAACAGGCATTCTTCACACCCTATGTAAAGTTCTACCAATCTCAAATACAAGATGTCAATTAATTATGAAAACAAGAACTTTCAAGATTTACCATCTACACCCATTTCCTTATTCAATGGAAAAATATATGACTTGTTTGCTGTCTTCTGACAGGCACATGTGGTAAGGGTAAACTTGTAAAGAATTTGTGAGTACTGCTTCTTTTAATCATGAGCAGTGGATGGACAAAAGGCTCAGAGAAAAACACACAATAAAATCAGATTAAAAGTTACTTATTTCAATAAAATTGGTATTACAGACATAAAAAAAATACTGTTACCAGTATAACATTACTAAATGATACTGTAACAAAGGAATTGCATTTATGTTCCCCGAAAATCTTTTATAAACTCACTGCTAGTCTCAATGTATTAGTTAGATGATAATTTTATGCTTTCAGGTGTAAAGCAGATGCAGAAGTTGTCTTATCATTAGCTAAACAGTTAAATGAACAAATGGTAACAAAAGTGGCCTCCCTTGATGAAGATCTGATACGTATGATTTCATACACATGTTGTGGATGTTTTGCCCCTCTCTGTGCCGCTATTGGTGGATTTGTTGCTCAGGAGGGACTTAAAGCACTAACTGGAAAATTTACACCTCTTAATCAAATGGTAATATAATCATCATAGTTGATCCCCCTTCCCTTCCACCACCCCCCCCCCCCCCCCAAAAAAAAAAAAAAAAAAAAACATGAATCAAATTAATATCAGGCTATTCTATGCAAACTTATATGTTTGTTAATTTTTCAGAAGACAAATATTTGCAATTACCTTTGATCATATTCTTCTTTAAGAATGATTTTTGTGGTAAGAAAATAACATTTAAAAAAAAAAAGAAGAATGATTTTTATAGTGAAGAATAAAATTTTAAAAACTTTTCATGTACTTTTTTTTCTCCAATTTAGAAAACAATGCAAAAATATCTATTGTTCTTTGAAGATCTAAATGTGGCATATGGCTGATAACTGACTTTTGTTTACAACTAAAAGATATACATGAATTTTATATTAAGGAGTCTTATAGAAACAAGTACTATTTTTATTACAGATATATTTAGACTCTATAGATGTTATAACTAAAGAAGATAGATTGAATCCTTCATTATTTCAATCAAAGTAAGTCAAATAGATTCTTAAACAAGTCCATATGGAAATTGTGGATATCTTCCATTTATTTAATAATTTTCTTTATACTTGGTGGAGGATGACAGGTTTCTTTGGTTTTAATGCTTTTCTTCAAAGTAAAACCATCAAACAAACAGACTGACAAGACAAAAAAGAAGAAAGAAAGATAATGCACAACAATTCAATCATAATCATTGCAGCAGGCAACACATTTCAGCATGAGCATTTTTGTAACTTTAGCATAATATAACTTGTTCCATGTTTTCATATAATTTATCCTTACAATGTTCCATTTAAACATTCATGGCACACATGGAAAGATATTTAAACACAGCAAAGCCCTGTCCTAGAAACAGTACTATCATTCTTAAGCATTTTCAGTGTTGATTAATATTCCAGACGCCATTCCATAAATTACATTGGAAAGGCTCTTCCGTGAGGGGTGTATTGTCTAAACAGTATTCCATTTGTTGAAGGGATGTCATATCTCTTCTTACCAGTATAAATGTTAATTGGAGTGAATTATACTTTGTATTTTACAGAAATGACAGATATGATTTATTAAGAATATGTATTGGTGAGAATGGCTGTAAGAAACTGTCTCAAGTTAAATTATTTATGGTAGGTACTGAAGTGAAAATATATGTATATAAATTTGTTTTAGACAAATATAAAGAAATTTGAATGAAAGACAATATTTCCTTCATGTGTGGATCAATTATCAAGTAGTTGATAAGTTAAAATAAAATTCTATCAAAGAGTTATATTAGAAATTGTTCAAGTGATACAGCTTGTTTTGTTTGATTTTAAAAAAAGATTTACTTCAGTTTCACCTGAGTAACTATGATGCCAGCTTATGACCTATTATTGTTAATTCACTTATTGAGACAAATATAAAAGTGACCACTTACAATAACATTTGTTAACATATGTATGATTTACAGTGTAAAATAATTGGTAAACTTTTTATTATTACACAAATTCTTTCAGACACTCTCAGTAAATCTAATGACCCATGACAAGTAATTGTATTTTGTATGAGACACATTTTAAATACATTTATTCAAAATGATGTGATGCTACATGTTTTATATATTAAAATAAGGAGATGTGGTATTATTGCCAATGATGTGATGCTACATGTTTTATATATTGAAATAAGGAGATGTGGTATGATTGCCAATGATGTGATGCTACATGTTTTATATATTAAAATAAGGAGATGTGGTATGATTGCCAATGCGACAACTATCCACCAGTGTCCTTATGAAGTTGATGTTGGCAACTGTTGGTAACCTTACTGCCATCAACCGTGAGCAAAATCCATATTGTAAAGTCATCTAAAAAAGGTCCAGCCATGACAAAATGTAAAGCAGTACAAAAGAGAAAAACCAACAGCTTGATTTATGACAAAGCAATAAAAGAAAAACATTAATGACAAACAGTAGCGAAGGACAACCGCTGAATTACAGGCTCCTGACTTAGAACAGATGCATAAAGAATGTGGTGTGATAAAACAAATTTGTGAGCACTCCCTAACCTGGGACAGTTGGGTAACATAAGAACAAACCCTAAAAATCAGTTTTAAATGGCTTGACTCATCAGATTGTCAGGAAGTACAAAAAAAAACTTACATAGAGACAAAAGACACTAAGGACCGATCAAACAGTATATCTTGAAATGTTGGACGTTCAACTTTTCCATGTAACTTATTGATGATTGATTGTTATTTGGTATATCTTCCATGTAATTTAAGTTTTATGTGAATGTTGATTATGTTAAGTTTATAATTATTTGGTATATTTTAAGTTGGTTTTGGGTCTAGCTGTGAATTGTTAAAAGTTAATTGTGTAAGACTTACAAATATTTCATATATTTTAGGTTGGATGTGGTGCTATAGGATGTGAAATGTTAAAGAATTATGCATTATTAGGTGTGGGTTGTGATGGAAAGGTTGGTAACTATCATCTGTATATTTAGTGTTAAGGGTGGTAAAGGAAAGATGTGTGTATTAGACATTATGATATAAAATTGTGAATTTTAAAATGAAAATGATTTTAAGTCTTCAATGGTACATTTCAACCTATTTGCACTAGTAAGGTGAATAACGACCATCGGCATGAAAAGAGGTGAAGTAAATACATATTGTAAAAAAAGAACGTAAATTTAATGTCATATATTGTTAAAGCCTTAAAAAAGATTATATAAATTTGATGTCATATATTGTTAAAGCCTTAAAAAAGATTATATAAATTTGATGTCCTATATTGTTATAGCCTTAAAAAAAATTACATAAATTTAATGTCATATATTGTTATAGCCTTAAAAAAAATTACATAAATTTAATGTCATATATTGTTATAGCCTTAAAAAAGATTATATAAATTTAATGTCATATATTGTTATAAGCTTAAAAAAAGATTACATAAATTTATGTCATATATTGAAATAAGCTTAAAAAAGATTACATAAATTCATGTCATATATTAAGGGTATCTGCTGGCGGTTCATTTTTGCGAAAAAATTAAAATTGTGGTGATTAAAATTTGTTATTGGCGAAATAATTTGGCGAAAGAAATATAAGGGTTTGACTTCGTTCATCTTGTTTACTTTTTCTGGTTTCTCTGACTTTTTCCCTGATCAGACAATACTAGGAATTCACTTTTATCTCGTTACGATTTTGATAGAAAATCAATAATCAGCTGATTGCATTTTATAGCTATCAGTAATAATGGATTATAATTAATAAAGGTGTTGATTGTATTGTTTAATGAAATGGTGTGGTTAAATGGCATCACATGTCACACGTGTTTGAGGCATAGTTTTATTTTTCTTCTAACGATGGTTCAGAAAAGAAAACTATTGTTAAGAAGAAAAAATATTCAAAACGTAAGAAAAATCTCTGACTTAAGTATTTATCCTTCAACTAGATGGGACGTATCCGATAAACTTATTTAATGATGAATCCCATGTTCCCTGGCAGAAGTCAAAAATGAGATTTCATGATCTATATTGCAATTTTACAGTATCTTTTAAAAGTAAACGTTTTTTTATTATTGAGTGTTTATTCATTACAATGTAGATTAAAAAATAGATTTTTAGAATTATAATAGACAACAATGTGACAAATGGATTTTTTTTGTTAGAAAGAAGAAAAATTTTAAATGAAAAATATGTTTATGTTTAGAAAAAAAAAATTGTTTTGGTGAAAGAGGTGGCGAAAAAGAAAATTGATTCAGGGGAAACCCTGTATATTGTTATAAGCCGAAAAAAAGATTACATCAATTTAATGTCATATATTGGTATATAGCTTATCATTTTAAACTGTATGTCAAAGTTAAATTACCTTAAAATGTACAACATAAATTTTTGTTATAAAGTTTTCATAAAAATTCACTGGTTTTGATTAGAGTAATTTTTACCAAAAAATATGGAGCAAGTCTAATGGTAAGTTTTGTTGTTGACAGATAACCATAACAGACAATGATCTGATTGAGAAGTCCAATCTGAACAGACAATTCCTCTTCAGACCCCATCACATACGAGTAAGTCTTACTTATTATATGACAGGTTTACCTTTGGTATACTTTATATCATTGGCATCTTATAACTGAACAAAATACCTTTGTAATTGGTAAGTAGCTTGGCAGTGATGAGGTGTAAAATGTGAAGGCTTTTCAATCTGTCAGAATTACTTCCCATTTTCTGATACTTTCATCTTCAAGTTAGGTATGCTAAGTATGTCCTTGAACCCATTCTTGTTTTACTTTTAAAAAATTTCATTTTAATTTGTATCAAAAATTAAAAATTTTGAGTTTTAATGATTTTTATACGACCGCAAAAAAATTTTGCGGTCGTATATTGGAATGACGTTGGCGTCGTCGTCGTCGTCGTCGTCGTCGTCCAAAGACACATTGGTTTTCGCACTCTCACTTTAGTTTAAGTGAATGGATCTCTATGAAATTTTACCATAAGGTTCAATACCACAAAAGGAAGGTGGGGATTGATTTTGGGGGTTATAGTACCAACACTTAAGGAATTAGGGGCCAAAAATAAGCATTTTTGTAACTTCCAGACATAACTTGTGTTTTAGTGTATGGATCTCTCTGACATTGTACCACAAGGTTCCATATCACAAAGGGAATGCTGGGATTGATTTTGGGGGTAATTGCCTCAAAATTTTAGGAATTAGGGGCAAAAAAGGGGCAAAAAACAAGCATTTTTCTAGTTTCATGACAATAACTTGTGTGTAAGTGTATGGATCTTTATGAAATTGTACTACAAGGTTCCATATCACAAAGGGAAAACTGGAATTGAGTTTGGGGGTAATTGCCCAAAACGTTTAGGAATAAGGGGCCAAAAAAGGGCCAAAAATAAGAATTTTTCTAGTTTCCAGACAATAACTTGTGTTCAAGTGTACGGATCTCTCTGAAATTGTACTGCAAGGTACCATACCACAAAGGGAAGGCTGGGATTGAGTTTGGGGGGTGATGAATCATAAGGGGGTTCAAAAAATTTGGGGTTGGGGATTTTTTTTCCCTTTTTTTTCTTTAAAATTTTCCATTTTAAATTGGTTATTTCTGATTTATATATAAAAGCAAATAATAATGATATGGTTTGAATTGGTAAATTAAAAATTTTTAAGTTCTTAGACCACATTCATTCTGTGTCAGAAACCTGGTATGCTGTGTCAAATATTTAATTACAATCCAAATTCAGTGCTGTATCAAGCTTGAATGTTGTGTCCATACTTGCCCCAACTGTTCAGGGTTCGACCTCTGCGGTTGTATCAAGCTGCACCCCAGCGGAGCATTTTATTTTGTATGCTTATCTATTCATATCCATATTGATATTGTGAATAAGGATGAAGATATTTAACTCACTATACTATTTTTCTCTAAAAAATATTTTGTTATTTCTATTTTTTCTACTGTATGTAATAATATTGTGAATAAAGATGGAGATATGACACTTTATTTTTACGCTTACAGCAACCCAAAAGTACAACAGCAGCACAGTCAGTACTAGAAATAAATCCAGGTTTGTTGATGTTTTTAAAGACTCTTACTGTTGTATTATCATTAACTGTTTTAAATAATATGGATTCATTATTATTTGTGGTGTTTTCTTTTTCATAGTTTTTGTGAATAAAGTTTAACCACAAATATAAGTGTTCAACAAAATACTAATTTTTCTACAGGGTTTTTATGCAGAATCTTTTAAAACCACAAAATTCAAGTATTCACCAAAATGATGTTTTTTCTTCTGTCCAAGAAAACTTGAATACATCAATATAAAAGAATCCCAAGTTATTAGAATAATTAAGTTTTACTGCATTGATGTAAAATTAAAAAATGAATTTTCTAAACATTGTTGCATGACAATTTGAATCCTCTTGTAAATTCATTGAGCCACCTTTTTCAGAAATGATAGTGAATTGGATGCACTTTGGCATTTTTGGCAAATAATGTATTATTGAAATGAGATTAACGTAAATAGAACAATAAATATAAAATATAGAATTGACATAGGATATATACATAACTTGAAGTTTATTATAGTAAAACCTGACACAAATCAATTAAGAAGATGAACTCAAAGTTAAACAAATTAATTTAAATACAAAAGAAGTACCAAATTGTTATTCTGTAAAGAATATGGACTAGCAGTATAACAGGGATATATAGTTTTTTCATGTATTTTTTTGTCATTTTAGATTTGAAAATAGAACCTCAGCAGTACAAAGGTAGGAAATCTTGTATTCTTATGTATTCTTTAAGAAATATTAAAACAGAGTATCTAATATTGAGAATAACTGTAACTCATTTCCTATGAATAAAAATGGTATCGGAAAACAGTTTAGATTTCTAGCCTATTGTGTAACCAATCAGATACCATTATTAGAGTCATGAACATTCGTTAAGAGACATTTCCATTCAAGTTGCAATTTTAAAATGTTTTTTTATTCTGGGTAATATTTTTGTCCCCTGCACAACATTAGGGGAGACATAGAAATACAGGCCTTCCGTCTGTTCTTCTCTCCATCTGGTCTTGTTAGCGCTCTTGTGTGTACAGTTCTTGCCAGATTTTTATAAAACTTATACATGTATCATAGGTTTATATCAGCAATGTCTCAGACATATTAGAAAATCAGTGTTGATCAACTAATTTAGACTTATGCCCCTTTGAAATATTAATTATATGGAAAATTTCATTGTTAGCGCTCTCATGTACAAAACAAGCCAGATTTTTATGAAACTTATATCATAGGTTTATATAAGCAATGTCTCGGACAATTACAAAATCAGTGCTTATCAATTATTTTGAAAAGAGTTATGCCCCTTTGAAATAATAATTACATGGAAAATTGCAATGTAAGTGCTCTCGTGTGTACAATTTTTGCCGGATTTTTATCAAATTTATCTCAAAGGTTTATATAAGCAATTTTTTGGACAAGTTCAAAAATCAGTGTCATTCAAATATTATTTTAAGAGTTATGCCCCTTTGAAATATTACTTATATATGAAATGCATTGTATTTGCTCTCAAGCCTTCATTTCTTTAAGATATTTATAAAAAGTTTTTTTTTGTTATTGCCCTTGGATAGATAAAATATGTGTAACAGGGGGAACATTTTGCTAATGGTAACAGAAATGATGTTATTGTTTGTTATCATTAAAAAAATGATTATTTAGTTAAAGATACAATTATAATTTCGGTTTGTTCATTTTTAAATTTCAAAGAAAAAAAATATTGTTTCGTATGAAGATCACATAAAGATCACATGAAAAGTTCAAAATGTGGTTATGCATGATTATCATAACAGTTTTAACAGAAGATAAAAGTTGAGGAAGAAGATACATGACAAAGACAGCTGAATATAGACTAGAACAGATTCCTGTAAAACTAAACAATGCATTTGAACTCTTTTGAAGATTAAAGTAATATCAGGCACTTCCAAAAGTAATGGGATGAAATTCAGGTTAAGTTTTAATATCAGAAAAGATCAAGACAAAAATTTTAAAACTAGAACTATTGATTTAATAAAAGCATTACATGTATAGAGATAATCTAACATGATATTTATATGAAGTATGTATATTTATAGTGTGTCCACAGACAGAAGAATCCAACTACCCTGATACTTTCTTTGAATATCAAGATCTTATAGTAAATGCATTAGATAATGTAGAGGCCAGGAGATATGTAGATAGGTAAGTTAGATGACATAACATCAATTCATTTTTTTTTTAAATTCTTGTTTTATATATATATATATAGTAAGATGAAGCATTTTAACAATAATATTTAGACAAGCAAACTTTTATGCTGATTTAAGATTATTAAAGGCATTTGTCAAATGATATAATATATACATACTTTTAATAACGGCCAGTTAAAAATGCAATTCTCTTTTTCAAATAATGACTGAAAGCTTACATAGTCATTTTTCTATATTTTAGATTTTTCCTGGAGTGTCACAGTTTAAAAATCAGTGATTTTCGGCTGTTTTCTGCTCTTTGGTTGGGTTGTTGTCTCTTTGACACATTCCCCATTTCCATTCTCAATTTTATATTCATTTGAATGAAATGATATTAAAAAACTGTTTTTATTTTCATTTCTAGTCGATGTGTAACCAATCAGAGACCATTATTAGAGTCAGGTACCATGGGAACTAAAGGTCATGTCCAGGTTATAGTACCACATATCACAGAATCATATGGCAGTCAGGTAAAATTTGATACAAAAAATTGACAAATTAACTATACATGTATATATCATGATGGAATTGGACACATTTTAAAAACAATTTGGAATCATAAAGACAACAAATAGACTGGGGGCATAAAATCATTACTGAGGACCTAAGAACTCATTCTGTATTATCATTGATCATTATTGAGGACCTAAGAACTCATTATGTATGTCATTAATCATTACTGAGGACCTAAGAACTCATTCTATATGTCATTGATCATTACTGAGGACCTAAGAACTCATTCTGTATGTCATTGATCATTACTGAGGACCTAAGAACTCACTCTATATGTCATTGATCATTACTGAGGACCTAAGAACTCATTCTGTATGTCATTACTGAGGACCTAAGAACTCATTCTATATGTCATTGATCATTACTGAGGACCTAAGAACTCACTCTATATGTCATTGATCATTACTGAGGACCTAAGAACTCATTCTGTATGTCATTGATCATTACTGAGGACCTAAGAACTCATTCTGTATGTCATTGATCATTATTGAGGACCTAAGAACTCATTCTGTATGTCATTACTGAGGACCTAAGAACTCATTCTGTATGTCATTACTGAGGACCTAAGAACTCTTTCTGTATGTCATTACTGAGGACCTAAGAACTCATTCTGTATGTCATTGATCATTACTGAGGACATAAGAACTCATTCTGTATGTCATTGATCATTACTGAGGACCTAAGAACTCATTCTGTATGTCATTACTGAGGACCTAAGAACTCATTCTGTATGTCATTACTGAGGACCTAAGAACTCATTCTGTATGTCATTGGTCATTACTGAGGACCTAAGAACTCATTTTGTATGTCATTGATCATAATTTTTCCATAAATGGAAGTTTATATGTCTTGTAATTGGAAATGGGTTTTCAAACCATCAAAAAATCAAATCATGATGTAAGTGCAGGATCAGAATAGTACAAAAACAAAAATATTCCCTGTCTCTGTTCTAATAGTTTGTCCTCAATATGCAAGCAGTACTTAACACTTAACCACTAGATTATATTCAGGCAATACTCTCATACTGTTTGTTCCTAAATAGTACTTGGTCTTATCAGTATGAAGTTGATTTTGTAGTATAATAATATTTTTTTTTATAAAAACAGAGGGATCCAGTAGATGAAGATGTACCTTATTGTACACTGAAGTCTTTCCCAGCAACTATAGAGCATTGTATACAGTGGGCTAGAGATAAGGTAGGTTATTATCAAAAATTGTAAACAGTGTGCTCAAGGTAAGGGAGACAACTATAGAACATTATATACAGTGGGCTCGAGATAAGGTAGGTTATTATCAAAAATTGTAAACAGTGTGCTCAAGGTAAGGGAGACAACTATAGAACATTGTATACAGTGGGCTCGAGATAAGGTAGGTTATTATCAAAAATTGTAAACAGTGTGCTCAAGGTAAGGGAGACAACTATAGAACATTGTATACAGTGGGCTCGAGATAAGGTAGGTTATTATCAAAAATTGTAAACAGTGTGCTCAAGGTAAGGGAGACAACTATAGAACATTGTATACAGTGGGCTCGAGGTAAGGTAGGTTATCAAAGATTGAAAACAGTGCCTCAAGGTAAGGGAGACAACTATAGAGCATTGTATAAAGTGGGCTCGAGATAAGGTAGGTTATTATCAAAAATTGTAAACAGTGTACTCAAGGTAAGGGAGACAACTATAGAACATTGTATACAGTGGGCTCGAGATAAGGTAGGTTATTATCAAAAATTGTAAACAGTGTGCTCAAGGTAAGGGAGACAACTATAGAACATTGTATACAGTTTCCTATATTTGCTACATTGTTGATGAGTAGTATGACGCCATGGATAAAAATAAAAAGGTTGGCACTTTTGAGTGATAACTCAAATATGCTTTGAGTTCAGGAATTATGCCCAATAAGCAAAATTAATGGTTTAAATATATTTGCTTGGAATACTTTAATTCTAATGAACATATACACAATTATCAATGCATTTTCCAACCTGAGTGTGGCAGCTTTAACCTTTCAGAAGTTAAAAATCTAATTTGCCAAAATTGATCCTCTACTGATAATATCAATTTTTAGATATATTTATCATATTTAAGTGCATCCCTTTTTATATCTGATAAGTGTCTATGAGTAATGTCCTTATAAAAAAAAATTGTTAAATTATTTTACTACAACATTGCATACAGTCTTGAATCAAAGGAGCCTCTGTTAGCTAATTATACACAGAAACAACAACCAATTACACAAATTATGATTCTTCATTTAAAATAATTTTATATTTTACAGTTTGAGAGTTCGTTTGTACAGAAACCAAGTATGTTTAACAAATTCTGGTCCAAAAATAAAGATGCACAAGCTGTGATAGAGGTAAATATTATATAAATTTCACATGGAAAAAATAATTCTAATCTAGTAAAATACAACATAACATTTTGCTTACAAGACTTTGTAGGGGTAAATTAAAAAAAAAATTGTACTGTTAAGAATTAGAATCCATAGTGGGGAAAATCATATACTGTACAACAGAAAAGAAAGTATTTAAGCATATAAACCTTGAAAAAACAATAAATTTATGATGACTGAAAGATAGATATTCTACAATTATAGAATAAGTAATCCAAGAATATTGAAAAAAGGATTTGTTTCACAAGTGAAATATAATTTTATTTGACCGGGAAATCAAGGTATTTCCTTGTAACCAAAGTACCTTTTAGTGTTGAAAACATTAGTTGTTAAAAGTTAGTAAAACTTTTCTTGCATATTACAGAAATTATTAGATGGATCAAGTATAGATGGTGGAGTACAAGTCAGTAAAATATTACACAACAGATCTGCAACTTGGTCAGATTGTATCAAGCTAGGGAGGCTTAAGTTTGAAAAATATTTTAATCATCGGGTAAGTTACATAACACAGAACATATTGTATTAAACAAGCCAAAGGGAAAGCTTCTGTTAATCACTGTGAAAGTTACAAAACCAAACAACAGGCTGATCATATTTAATTTAACCAAAGAAGATAAAATTAAAAAAAAAAACTTCAACTAAAAGCTTAATCAGCAGTTTCATTCTCTAATAAAACTTATCAACATCGTTGTGTCATTCATGTCTAGCATTTTTTATATCATATCACCTTGAAAATATACTCTGTAGATTTGTTAGCTGTAAAGCTTGATGATGGAAAGATGCTTTATTAAAATTTAAAAAAATCTGTCCTTATGACTTTTGTAAATTTTCAAACTAATTGCTTAATGAGATATTTGTTTATTTATTTATGCAGGCAAAGCAATTACTTCATCATTTTCCATTAGACACTAAACAGAGTGATGGATGTAAGTAAATCTATATCAGTTGAAGGTGGAGACAAAATGTGTATTGATGTTTTCCACATATGGTTACAAAACACAGCACCAAGATTCCTATATACCCCCAAAAGTTTAGGGTGTATGTAGGAAACATGTTGTTCGTCTGTAGGTCTGTCTGTCCATTGTCTGTGCATCTGTCCCACTTTGTGTCCGGTGCATAACTTTTGTACCATTGGACTTAGGTTGATCAAACTTGGTATGCAGATGAATCTTGGGCTAGGATGTGTGTCCTTTACCTAAATCAGGTCACTTTGACATTTGACTCCTATTTAAGTAAATCCTTGTACAAATTGTGTCCAGCTCATAAATTTTGTACCATAAAACTTAGGTTAGCCAAACTTGGTAGGCAGTTGCATCATGGGCTAGGGGTAAGTCATATACCAAAGTAAGGTCACTCTGACCTTGACTTTGACCCTTATGATAGTGAAACCTTGTCGGATTTGTGTCCTGCGCATAACTTTTGTACTGTAGAACTTAAGTTGACCAAACTTGAAATGATGATGCGACATGGGACCCCTATGATAGTGAATCATTGTCTGAGCCCATTCCGTGCATAATTTTTGTACCAAAGCACCTAGATTGACAAAACTGTATGCAGAAGCATTATATTGACCTTGACTTTGACCTTTGACACCTATGATAGTAAAACATTGTCTGATTTGTGAACAGTGCATAACTTTGTACAGTAGCACTAAGATCGGCATAACTTTGTATGCAGAAGCATCATGGGATAGGGATGTGTCAAATATCAAAATCAGGTCACTCTGACCTTGACCCTTGATCTCCATTCTATAAGCCAAAAATCTCAATGCTGAATTTCACAGCAGGAAATGAAATGCATGTACGAGGGGTATTATTCTAGCTATTCAGACAGCTCTAGTTTAGGACAAATTTGTCTGCTTCAACTAATAACTCCTCAGAAATTGTAGTTTTTCTTTGTTTTGCTTATTTAGAGAAATTTGATTACAATAACCTGACCATTTTGAGTCTGAGACAAATGATGTTATGTAACTAAAAACGAAACTTTTTTTGGTTGAAAAATTGACTGCATGAAATGTATTGGCTTGTTTAAGTTGGATCTAACATATATTTATTAATGTGATATTTCAGCACTGTTTTGGCAGTCCCCAAAGAGACCACCTGTACCTCAGGAATTTGATGTAGCCAATGAAAAGTGAGTACAGCCTTCACAGCAATATCAAATTAAGCTTTTATGTCTATTGCAGATACATTGCAAGGTAACGTCAGTGTTAAATATGCAAGTTTTAATAAATCATTTATATTGCATATGCTACCTTGAAAAACTGAAATATTTAAAAGACATCATTAAACAATGACACGATAAAATTGGGAAATGGTATAATGCAATTGCGGAATATCTGCCTCAGTGTATTTCAAGTCTTAAATATATAAAAAAAAAATTCCTTAAAAACACATTTAAAACAAAATTACCGATAGAAGAAATCATTTCCAAAGAGGTAGTGTAATATGAACATGTTGGAAAAATTACCTTGAAAATTGTTTTAATCTTGATGATTTTATGAATTCTTATTTTGCAATGAATGGTATACGGAAAGGAGTATGAATTTCCACAAAAACTTACGAGGAGAAAGACACAAAAGCCACATTACAATATATGGTATACCTCAGAATTTACTTGTGACTATACATAATGACTATACATAATATCTTAAAAGTGACAGAACCTGATGTTCAGTGGTTGTCGTTTGTTGATGTGGTCCATAAGTGTTTCTGGTTTTTTATATAGATTAGACTGTTGGTTTTCCTGTTTGAATGGTTTTACACTAGTAACTTTTGGGGCTTGCTGTTTGGTGTGAGCCAAGGCTCTGTGTTGAAGGCCGTACTCTGACCTATAATGGTTTACTTTTACAAATTGTGACTTGGATGAAGAGTTGTCTCATTGGCACTCATACCACATCTTCTTATATCCATATAAGGATATTACTTATACAGTGGAAATATTAGAGTTGTCTTTCGTCTTCCAACAATATCCATTTATACTTTCTTGTAGGCCATATAGTTGTTTACATCCTTTATTCTCTGATGGATTGCTGTCTTATTGGCAATCATACCACATCTCTTTATTTTTATATTGAATCAGAATTTAAATGTATTACAATGTATAACATTACATGTAAGTTTATTTCATACATTACAATAAATACAACCAATTAACATGTACTTTCCTCAGTGGTGAGTTATGTGACATTGTATAGCCCTTTATTGTGACAGCATTATTTGTATTAAAATTATATTTCGTTTTTCAGTCATATGTCATTTGTGATCAGTACAGCCAGACTGTATGGCCATGCTGCAAACATTGCTCAGTCATCACAGGTAAAACTAATGTACTGTTTTAGTACTGAATTTTGATTGTTTAAAGTACTGTATCATAATTTTAACTGAAGCAAATGTTTGTACTGAAAATATCCGTATTATTATTGCTATTTAATTGACACAATTCAGGTTGTGGCAGTCATAAGCATAAAATGGACCTATTATAAATGCCTATTTATATACACCCTGTTATTAAATGGCAAGGGCATATATTCTTACCAATGTCCTTCCTCTGTAATCTCTCTATCTTTTTGTCTTTTCATTGACTAAGACAAATAGTTTAATAAATTTTAGAGAAGCTGATTTTTTATGCCGAACTTAGTAGAACATTTAAAATCTATCTTTGTTTCAAATATAAAAATGATGTTGCTTTGTTTTCTTTAATACAAATTTCATTGTAGGATACAACAACAGAAACGGTTGTAAAGATACTACATTCAGTAGTAGTTCCTTCATTTCGTCCATCTTCGAAGGTATGTTATATGGTAACTCAGCAAAAAGGGTTCAATCTAAAAATATAGTTCATTGAGTGGAGAGATATTTGTTTAAAAGAGAAATTAAATAGTAACAAGCAATCAACACAATACTAATTTTAATCAAAACATCAAGGTCACAAATATTCAATGGACACCCACACTGTCAACATATGGCCATAGTTGACAAAATACAACAACTAGAGAATCTTGCGTCATAAAAACAATGAGAAAATTATAATTTATTAACTTTTTTTATTTTAACATGAAACAAATAAATATATACAAAATGCCTTTGAACTTTCTCACCTATCTGTAAATAGAAATGAAACATGTTACGGTGTGAGTTACAAAAACGGGTGAACATTCATTACACTAAGGTCAGTAGAAATACATGTATGTTTTTATCAGGGTGCGCTTTTTATTCAGGTGCGTTTTATTTAAGGAAAAAAACACTCCTCCCCCCAAAAAACGGCTATGCGCCTTATTTAGGGGTGTGCTTTTTTCCCCGTAAAATACCTTATTTATAGTTGAATAAAGTGCTTTTTAAAATCTAATTTCAGCGAATAGTAACAGATGAATCAGCATCAAAACCATTGGATGAAGGACCAGCAGATGGGGATGAGTACCAAGATGCAGCCAATAGAATACAACGTGTCATCAACCAATCAAAAAGTCCTAATGAAGGTTCATATTATACTGCATAGATATAATTCAATTATATTATGTTTTTATAAAAATGGTATAATTGACAAGAACATACATGTACCTTAATAAGATATACTGTTTTGCATATTAGGAAATTGATTTTGATTATATCAAAACTGGTTGGATAATGAAAAAAGAATCAGTTAAACCTGCTATAAAGGTCACCTCTATTAAGGGAAAATCTGTCATGGCAGGTCACCTTTTTCCACTGTTAGTAATGCTTATGCATTTTGTACCTCAATTCAAAGGTCACTGATTTCTCTGATCTTGGGGGTGATCTTTATATACAGGTTTGACTGTAAACAACACATTTCTCTAACATGATCAAGTTTTTTTAATACCTGGGAGCATTCTTTGAAATGTTATTGTTTATTATTGTTGTGCTTATTTTTTATCTTTGATACCAGTACAGTTGACTATGTTGGAGACAGTATATCTTTTGGTTATTTGTGGCAATTGTCTCTGTCTCATTGATGAATACCTATATCCCTTTTATTCATATTCATTGAAGCTTGCAGTAAATGGATATTTTTGCAAATTAAAAAAAAAAATTTCTTTAGCATGCTCTAAATTCAATACAAGGGGTTGTGTAATTTTAACAAAGGGACTTATGGTTTTAACTGGTTCGATATCAATTTGATTTTAATTTTATCTATTGCTGAAGCACCAAACATTGTGACAGATAAATTTAACTAAGAATACCAACTGTATGATTATTTTATCTATTCCAGTAACATCAGTGATGAAAGTAGCTGACTTTGAGAAAGATGATGATACAAATGGACACATAGACTTCATCACTGCAGCAGCTGTAAGTGTTGAGAACAAGGGTCTTTACAGGGTTTGAAGTGGGGCAAAGTGGTACAAATAATTTTTATGCCAATAAAGGATAGTTTTTCTGATCAAAAAGGGGGAGTAAGGCATTTAATTCAGATTGTCAATATTAAATGTATTCAAATCATTACCTCATATAAGTTTTAAAAAATATCCATTTGACAGAAATACACAAGCATTATAAATACAATATACATAGTTCATCAAAGCTTACTTCTGATTAATTATGAGAAATCTTGAAACAGACTTTTACAGCAAAGAGAAAATCGTATAGTTTAATGTACAGAGCTATGGACTAGAATCAAATTACTTTTAAACTGAATAAATGGTTGCATTTCTGACAAACAGTGGCTTTTGGACTATTGGCTGATAGTTTGGGTAATTTCTGCATGTTTAAAAACTTAAGCAACTATTATTCAGAATGGTTGATGGATGACCTGCTGCATGGCTAAATTTCAGACACCCCCTCAAAAAAAATGTTTTCCATCTAATAAATTGGTGTATTGTTATGTTGATGTCATCCTGAATATGCATGGAATATTTGCCACTGGACTTCAAACTGTCAGAAATCAATCATTTAGTTAATCCAAAATGTTAATTTAACCAGTTTTTATACGCCCGTTTACGGGACGTATTATGGTATACCGTTGTCTGTCTGTCCGTTGTCAACATGTCGGACATTAACTCAAAAATGCTTTAACCAATTTGTATAAAACTTTGGTGAATTGTTTATATCTATTGATGTGAGCTCCCTTTCGTTTTTTATAAAATTTAGATTTTAATATTTTAGGTTTCCGAGTTATGGGGTTTTATTCATTAAAAAAAGGGGGATTTTCCAGTTTTCCGACAATAAGTCAAGAATGCTTTCACCAACTTGCAAGAAATTGTGGTGAATTGTTTATAGCTATTGACATGAGCTCTCTTTCGATTTTTATAAATTTTAGATTTTACGTTTCCGAGTTACAGGGTTTAATTCACAAAAAAAGGGGGGATTTTCCAGTTTTCGGAGAAAAACTCAAAAATGCTTTCAGCAATTCTTATGAAACTTTAATGAATTGTTTGTATGTATTGATGTAAGCTCCCTTTAGAATTTTATAAATTTTACATTATACATTTCTGAGTTATGGGGTTTTATTCATTAAAAAAAGGGGTGATTTTCCAGTTTTCGGACAATTAACTCAAAAATGCTGTCAGCAATTCTCATGAAACTTTGGTGAATTGTTTATATCTATTGATGTAAGCTCCATTTTTATTTTCATAAATTTCTAATATGACGTTGAGAATTAATTGAACTTTATTTGTTTATAGTCTGACAACAGATTTACTAAGTATTGCACAACAGCAAGAAATCTTTAATTGAATATAAATTCAATTCATATAACCAATTTCAATTTCTTTGACTACATTTATTCAGAAACTTATAATATGTCAAATATTTAATTACAATCCAAATTCAGACCTGAATCAAGCTTGAATATTGTGTCCATTTTTCCCCCAACTGTTCAGGGTTGGACCTCTGCGGGCGTATCTAGCTGCGCTCAGCGAAGCAGTTTATTCATAGTTCTTTACATTCTGAAATTGTCCTTCTCAACAAATAAGGGAGATTCTGTCAATGTTATGACCCTTAATTAAGAGTTTTCAAATTGTTAAAATTTTCAATTTAGATGTTTTTTTATCTTGCCAGGATGGAATTTGTGTGAAAATTCTTTTGTCATAAAATGAAAGCTTGGTGTATTTAAAAAAAAAAAACATTTGACATAAAAATTCTATGATACACTTAGTAAACAAAAGTCTCAAGAAAAAGTGAAAGGCAGTAACTGTCATTTATATCAAGAGCCATTTTTATACAATTCACTATGTTTCAACTAAAATCATTAACTTTTTAACAAGTCTTCTTTCAAGTGGTCAGATTTATTTTAATTTTATTAGAGCTGATTTAGACAATACAATTTTTCTAAAACAAATTTGTACAGTTGGAATGCAGTTAATTTACTGTGAATTCCCCTGAAGAAGCCTGTTTCACTGGAGAAATATTGATTTCAGTAACCCAACAATCAAGATAAAATTCAAATTTAGCTGACCAATAGACCTTATATCTAAATTGAAATCTGTGATAATTGACAAGAGATTTTACGACACATGAACTATTGATGTCACACAACAATCTTTTTTGCATTGTTCCACCAGAAATTTTCTCTGATAAAGTCAATTTTTATGGGGAACATCTGATGGCTATATATAGCTAGTAGTGACAGACAGTTAGCATTAAGGTGTATTGCAAGAAATCTAGTGAACTTGGTTGTATTGTTGAGGTTGTGACAGCTTTTGATAAACTTTTTTTTTGTGTATGTCAATGCGCTGTAATAGAATAAGTTTAACTTAACTGTTTTTCAAGTGAGATACTTTTGATTTATTACAGAATTTACGAGCCAGTATGTATGGTATAGAATGTTCAGATAGATTGAAAGTAAAGAGAATAGCTGGTAGGATTGTTCCTGCAATAGCTACTACCACTGCTGCTGTAGCTGGTCTGGTGAGATATATTTATTTCATGTAAAAGTGCAGATATGGAGTAGATGTTCTTGAGACAACACAAAAGTATGGGAAAATTTCTTGTAAGGAAAATTTCCTGATATTTTAATCAGTAGCATGTAACAGCAGTTCCAAAAGACATTGCAAAAGCATTAACAATGAGAACCTCCCACTTCTGACATAATGGCCATTTCTATCTTTATGAACTAGCTTAGCGGACAAAATAAGCACAAAGTATGTTTTGGATTAAGAAAACTCTTAAATCACTACAATAAATAGATTATCAGGTTTTTAGTGATTAGTTATCGTAAAACATCAGTCGCTTGACCCAATATGAACCAAATAATTATGTATTTGCCACCTGAAGTTAAGCAAACAACAATCAATAAATCAGCCGACATGACGGAAAAACGATAAATCAAAGTATTCAACTTTATATATAACTAATATAGGACAATGCTGTTGATTACAAATTACACCATTCAAGGCCCTTTTGTTTTCCACATAATTAATATTACCAATAATTAACAAGTTCCAGGTCCAATCTGATACTGATACCAATAGTATATGTCGCATGCAGTTTCTGGTTGTAGTAAGAAAAAAATTCGTAAGGTCTCCTTGGAACCCAGTGTCTTGCCTACTTTTGCTGTTAGTCGCAGGCTCAACAAAAATGGGGAAAAAATTATTAAAAAATTTTCCTCTAGATACTATCTTTTGATTGTAAGAAGCTTCTATCCAAGTTTGGTAAAAATCCAGGATGGTTTATGAATCTAATAAATGTTTTAAAAACTTTAACTGCAGACTGTATTGTATGTAATGTTAACTGGAAGAAAAACTAAGTCCATTTAGAAGTAATATACGCAAAAAACAGGAAATAAATTTTTACAAAATTTCCTACTAGCTTTTGATCATAAACAAGTTTCTAACCAAGTTTGGTACAAATCCAGGATAGTTTAAGAAAGTTATTAAAATTTTAAAAACTTTAACCACAGAGTGAATGTAATGTTAACTGGCAGTAAAACTAAGTCCATTTATAAGTAAAATACGGATAAAAAGGATTTTTTTTTTTAAATTTACTTCTGGATACTATCTTATGATCATAAACAAGCTTCTGTCCAAGTTTGGTAGAAATCCAGGATAGTTTAAGAAAGTTATTCAAATTTTAAAAACTTTAACCACAGAGTAAATGTAATGTTAACTGGCAGAAAAACTAAGTCCATCTATAAGTAAAATATGGATAAACAGGATTTTTTTTTTAACAAAATTTACTTCTGGATACTATCTTATGATCATAAACAAGCTTCTGTCCAAGTTTGGTAGAAATCCAGGATAGTTTAAGAAAGTTATTAAAATTTCAAAAACTTTAACCACAGAGTGAATATTTGTGGATGCCGCTGACGACAGAATGTAGGATCACTATGTCTCGCTTTTGCGACAAAAGTTGCAGGCTCCACAACTAGGACGGGTTCAAACATGAAGATTTTGAAAGCAGAGAAAACTGTGCACCTTATAATCAGCATGACTTCATCAGATGACAATAGGAATACTAAAAATCCAGGCTAATAATAAGGCATAGGTACTTTCAAATTTGTTAGCCAGCATGACGTAAAAATGATGAATCAAAGAATTCAACTGTATATATAACTAATATAGGACAATGGTGTTGATTAAAAGTTACACCATTCCAGGCCCTTTTGTTTTCCACATAATTAATATTACCAATACGTAACAAGTTCCGGGTCGACGAGTTCAAACAGAAAGATTTTGAAAGCAGAGAAAACTGTGCACCTTATAATTAGCATGACTTTATCAGATGACAATACAAATACTAAAAATCCAGGCTAAAATAAGATATATGTACTTTAATTCAGTCACGGACCCCGGATGTTGCTGGTGTGTTCTAGTATGTATTAAATAATATTTGGTTCTGTCAAGAACACAAAAAATTATATTTATAAGATTTAAATTTTGTTTTGATATTTAGGTGTCTGTGGAGTTACTGAAAGTCCTTGATATGAAACAACCTATAGAGGTTTACAAAAACTGCTTTCTGAACCTAGCATTACCAGTTTTACTGTTATCTGAACCAGGACCAGTAGAAAAGACAGTTCTAAAGTAAGATAAATATATTACTTTGAATCAAATGGAGTAGGAGTCATAAAACATCTACTTTTGCATTAAAATAAATTGGTGTAAATAAGGGAATCAACCTATGGATTTACACACATTATGATGATGTAAATACTGATTTAAAAAAATAAAGTTTGTAGAAAAATGTCATGTTACCATAAAAACTACATATTTTCAGAAAGATGTATGCTGGACATTCAAATCTTCTTAAAAGATTGTTTATAAGATATTAATGTTTGCTGAAAACAAAAAAGCATAAAAAAAAAGGATTTGCTAATGTTGTTGTGAATTTAAATTATACAAACTACAGTGGTTCATTTCATAAAATATTTCTCATGAATAGAATTGAGAGAAAGTTGAACTGAAATGTTTATGGCTTATAAAAAACTTCTTTTAAAAAATATTTTGTGAAAATGGTCGCAGATACATGGAAGCACAAATAATATTTTGACACAAAGTTATACATGTAGACTTTGTTTATTTTAACTTGATTTGACAAGAACTACAGATAGTGAATTAGGAGATAACTATATATTGTATTTTAAGCTCTGACGGCATCAATTGGTGATTTGATGGTCGCAAATTAAGTTTACTGGCGACGTGTTAGCTGTAAACGGGTATTTGCGACCATCAAATCACCAATTGATGCCGTCAGAGCTTAAAATACAATATTGTTATCTCCATTCTAATGAAACTGAAAGAAAACAACTTCAAATCATACATTTAAAATCTGTCATACATGGTCTGAGCTTGCGCGTATGTTTTCATAGCATCAATTGTGAATTGATGCCATGAAAATTGGTGACATTATCCAATCAAAATGAATGTTAAAAACGATGTTGCATTAAAATATTGATTAAATAAAAAAAAATTAAAATTATCAGTATGCATTTCTTGACTCGTTTTTTTATACGACCGCAAAAAATTTTGTGGTCGTATATTGGTATGACGTCGTCGTCCGAAGACACATTGGTTTTCGCACTTTAACTTTAGTTTAAGTGAATGGATCTCTATGAAATTTTACCATAAGGTTCAATACCACAAAAGGAAGGTTGGGATTGATTTTGGGGGTTATGGTACCAACAGTTAAGGAATTAGGGGCTAAAAGGGGCCAAAAGTAAGCATTTTTGTAACTTCCAGACATAACTTGTGTGTTAGTGTATGAATCTCTCTGACATTGTACCACAAGGTTCCATATAACAAAGGGAATGCTTGGATTGATTTTGGGCGTAATTGCCTCAAAATTTTAGGAATTAGGGGCCAAAAAAGGGCCAAAAAACAAACATTTTTCTAGTTTCATGACAGTAACTTTTGTGTAAGTCTATGGATCTTTCTGAAATTGTACTACAAGGTTCCATATCACAAAGGGAAAGCTGGGTTTGAGTTTGGGGGTAATTGCCCTAAATGTTTAGGAATTTGGGGCCAAAAGGGGGCAAAAAAAACAAGCATTTTTCTAGTTTCCAGAAAATAACTTGTGTTCAAGTGTATGGATCTCTCTGAAATTGTACTGCAAGGTACCATACCACAAAGGGAAGGCTGGGATTGAGTTTGGGGGTGATGAATCATAAGGGGGTTCAAAAAATTTGGGAGAGGGGGGTTTCTTTAAAATTTTCCATTTTAAATTGGTTATTTCTGATTTATATATAAAAGCAAATGATAATGATATGGTTTGAATAGGTAAATTAAAAATTTTTAAGTTCTTAGACCACATTCATTCTGTGTCAGAAACCTATGCTGTGTCAAATATTTAATCACAATCCAAATTCAGTGCTGTATCAAGCTTGAATGTTGTGTCCATACTTGCCCCAACTGTTCAGGGTTCGACCTCTGCGGTCATATCAAACTGTGCCCAGCGGAGCATTTTATTTGCTGTTTTTTCACAGCATTGTTAAAGAAAGCATGTATATATTTTTTATACCAGTGGAATCGAATGGAAATTCCTTGTTTATAAAAGATTTTCTTTTTCAGAGAGGGTCTAACAGTAACAATGTGGGACAAATGGGAAGTAAAAGGCAACAAGACATTTGTATTACAACAGTTCTTACAACACTTTAAGGTAAATTAACAAGAAATCCTTTCAGATAATTTGATGATATGAAATCTATTTCACAAATTTTTTATTGACTAATAGTGCAAGTTTAAATGCTAAATATCACTAAATAATGTATTATTTGCCTTTAAAGAAATTATGTGCATTCAGTGACCTATTGACTTGTTGGATATTTAGCTCATTTCATTTATTGAAAAATTGCTTATCTCATATGCACTACTGCTATATCATGATGCTTTTGTCTGTTCACCACCATACCTCCATGGAAGAATAAAATATGGTTTGAAATTATGAACACACCTTTTTATATTACCTTTTCTCTTTATTTTAGGATGTATATGGATTTGAAGCAACAATGGTTGGGCATGGTGTAAAAATGGTGTATGTTCCATTTATGCCAGGACATTCTAAACGATTAAATCAGACGTATGTATAATGCCAAGGTCATAAGCTGTACCGTCTTTTGGTATGTATAGTGCTCACATTTATACCCTGGGTCATGTTTCTTGTAAGAGGGGTGCGCATTATACATGCCTACAAACATTTTCTTAGCCTTTTTTCAGGTCCGAACTCCGACAAAGAAAAAAACAGGTGAAGTGAAGAGTACGGAATTTTTCGCTAATACCTCGACTTTTATTATGTTTTACATGTTATATTTGTAATATGTATCTTATTGTACTTGATATGTCATGTTTTATTCAAATAAAATACATTTTATATCTCTGTAGTTACGTTCGTTTATCGTGTAAATTTGTCCATCTGTTTGCAATCCAGAAGTTTGCCATGTCTTAATAAAGACACCATGAAGCTTTTGTTGTCGGTTAATTTAGGCTCTGTGTTTCTTGTGGTCATAACTTACTGTTTTGTATGTATTCATCATGGAGAGTAGAAGATAAGTGAATGAAAATTGAATAAACCACGCTCGTTTTGAAAAGATAAACCGCCATTTTTTTTAATGTATCAGGTGATCGCCAGTCATGTGACTAAATATTGTAAAGTGATGATTAAGGAGGGGGGATAGGAGGGGTCCTGATCCCGAAATCCCGGAGTCCCGTAAAGGACCTACCCCCCCCTCATTTAGTCTATGAGAAGTTTTTTTTTTATAAAAACGTTTCTACTTTGTAACTTTTAAACAGTAACAACTGTTTAAAACCGTTCCAGAAATTATGATTGAAAATATGATTATCCCATAATTGCAACCTGAACAAATTTAATTAGGAACAAGGTGAACCTGTCATTGATTGTTTTGACATCGATTAGACCCATTGATTGAGGTGTGATAATCCGGATTAACAGCTAGAATCAACAAACAAAAAATAAAAATTATGAGATTTTAACAATTTATTTCAGCACTAATTCATAACATAAAATTAAATAATACAAGATAATACAATTTCGTATTAATTACGTATTCCGTACAGAATTCACCGACATCGGTGACCATTTAAAAAACTTCCAGTTAAGACTTCCTGTTTGCCAACAAACGACAAACATTAACTTGTGGGTTATAAAAAGAAGATAACTATTAAAATTCTTTATTCAGCTACAATTAATTCTTTCCATGATATTAATCATGACTTCTCATTAATTCCTTGCCGAAAACAATCATGCTCAAGCAACATTTTACCGATTTTGGAGCTGTGACTTTTCCGAAAATGTCTATGTGTATTATACGAAGAAGAAATTTTTTTTCTCAAGTTTCTTGGACCATAAAGGGGGTGCGCACAATACACAAATGCGCACTATGCATACCAAAAGACGGTATTTATATAGAAAACAAAGCTAGGATTGGCAATAATACCACATGTCCTTATTTTATATAGAGGGGCGGAAGGACCTTTTTATGGACGTTGGTATTGGGCCTTTATTTTTGCAGGAATTTGGGATTGGACCTTTATTTTCGTGGGAATTTTGGATTTGTACTAATCCGGACTCGTGAATTAATGATTAATTTTTCAAGATCCGGGAAAGAAATGTTTTATTTTTTTTGGAATTCGAAACCCCCCCACTACCACCCCTCTATATAGAGTGTGGCTAGCCAACAGATTCATATGAACCTTTCAATTAATGCTTTTCAAATTATAATATGTTGTTACTCATTACAATATGGAGGTAAAATTTGATATTAACTATTTTCACTTTTGCCATAGGTGAGTTATGGTTCTTTATAGATTAGAAAATGGCACTTTATGTCCTTTCTGTGAAATAAAATATGAACCATTCAACGAATGCTTTTCAAACTCATATGAATGTCCTTAGAACTTGTGGTGCATATTTTGTAATTGAACATATCATCTGTAATTTTGTGATATAGAAACAAAATTGAAGCATTTTTTCCCAGAAGTATAAGACAATAGTACAACCACAATTTTTTTTCTTGTAGCATGGAGAAGTTACTGAAGCCTCACACTGGTCAGAAGTATGCAGATCTTGTTGTATGTCTACAGGGTGATAACGAAGAAGATATAGAAGGTCCACCCATTAGATATTACTTTGGACTGTGATATAGTTACCAATGTTCTTTCATTGTGACAATGTGGTACTTTTATTGTATGAGTATTTCTGTCTGTTTGTGAACAGGCTTTTATTGCCTTATCGTATGAATGTTTTTATCTACACTTACAGACATGTGAAATGTATAATACTTTTTGCTGTTTTTTAAGAATAATGGATGGATGCAAAGTTTGTAGTTCATAAATAATTCATTGTTATACGAGTGTATGTATGCTTGGTATTTATGACAGAGTAAATGTTCTTTTAAATACAATGAATGTCTTGAGAAAAATTGCAGGTTTATTTATTAGATAAGCAATGAATGTTTAAGTCTTGAAATTTCAATCATTGAACACCAAAAGTACGAAGTAAATTAAATTTGCAGCATACAAAATCAATTAAAATTGATTAAGGATGCAGCAAATTGATTCTTTGATTTATAAACATCCAGGAAGTTAAATAGGAAGAAATTTCCCCAAATATTTTACCTTAATTATGCAATAGCTAGATTCATGTCAAAGAAATTTGCATCCATAAAAGATTTGTCAAAGCTCTCACAAATCTTCCTGTAACAAAACTTCAGAAAAAAAATAATTCAAAATGAAATAATAGTCTATGATTTCTGATCAATGTTTTTAGTTTTACAATTAATTTTGAACAATTTATTTATTCAAAATATGTTGTGACTTGCCTGTTATAATCAATTATTTAATAATTTTGAAGATTTTCATACCTTTGTCCTTAAATACAAGTTGTTGAGAGGTTTCCATGTGTATTACAGATTTCCTCATCTATTTAAATAACTGTTATGTGTTCGAAATAATTTGTATAGAAATTATATAGCTCCACTCAAGAAATTACACAGAAGTAAAAAAAAAACTGCCAAAATAAAAACTGAAGAAGTTCTATGATAGCATTCTATAACTTCCTACACCAATAAAGTACCTCACTTTAAAACTTTTCTGAAACTAAGGAGAATTTCAAATGGACACTTGTTATAAGTTGGATAAATTGTTAGTAACAAACAGTTTTGCAGACAGGGTTAGGACTTTTTTTTAATGTGTAAAAAAACATCTGTAACTGAACAAGTATTAGTTATCAATCATTTATGTATATGTATATATCTACACAGTAAGTTTTTATGAACCCATGTGTCAGATATTTATTTACTGGCAGATTTACATTACATTTATCAGTATAATCTTCACAGGACTGCTAAAAGAGGTAAGGCCAATTTCCCTTGTATTTGTATTACTTAGAAAAACCACAGCTATGAAATCTAGTGGAAATTGAAAATTTTCATAAAAGTATGAATTTTATACTTTCCAAGAATGGTAAATAATTACATTTCTATTTTGATAAATTATATAAAAATCTTTAAAAATATCTACAGGTTAAGCAAACAACAATGAATCATATATGCCTGTTGAAGACCATTTTCATACATAAGAGCAAATTTTGCATGGATGGACATTCTTAACCAAAATGAACTGGTTTGTTTATGAGATTCAATACACAGCTTTAATTTTGGTTTTGATTAAGAGGGTCCATTATTTTGAATAAATACTCAAAATTTGCCATTATTTATCACCTGGAACTAATACCGTATATCGGGGTTTTTTTGCGTGTGTTTAATTTTCGCTTTGTTCGCTGCTGTTTAAGAAATGTGAACATTTGACCACGCAAAAATTTCCTTGCAAATTCCAAGGTTTATTGTTGTTTGAAAGTTTCATACATTATCATTATACTGTTAATTCTCGAATCATTTGTGTTGTTCGATAGATCACAAGAATGGGCATACTTAATTAAGATCTCTGTTTTCATAATAATTTAAAAATTGGCTAATCAATTGTCGCACCTTTTGACATCACAGCAATCAGTGACATGTTAAAAATTGATAATAAGCTATGATCTATTGATTGGGGGTCATAACCCGAAGATTTGGTATAAAATAAAATTAATTCACAATTACACGGATATTTGTAGATCTGTGATAATCAAATCCTTTAATTTTTAGCATGCCCCATATACATAATTTACATTCCTTGAAAGTTCTCTGAATGATGTGTATTTTCGTTTGTATTTATTTGGAATCCATTACCTGTTAGTTAATCAAGTTTTTTTACTATATCATAGTTATTTTTGCGCGTGTATTTTCCCATTCAGCGAAAATTATACACAGTGAAAATTTAACCTGCCCATTTTGTCATTAAAAAAAGCGGACGCGAACAAAACCCAATATACGGTACAAGAAATTATCTATTGGTCCCAGGTTTGACAAGGTCTAGGAGTTTATTTCATTAGCATGAGCTCATGTGAATGATAATAAATCGCAGTACATGTTTATCATCTTTTGATAAAGAATTCAATTCTTAATGTAGATTTTTGGCATTAACTGATTGAATAAGAATAAAGAATAAAATGCAGACACAGTTTGTTAGTGTAATAAACATTGGTAGATCCTCATTTTTATACGACCGCAAAAATTTTTTGGGATCGTATAATGGTATGATGTTGTCATCGTTTGCGTCGTCGTCCGAAGACACATTGGTTTCCGGACAATAACTTTAGTTTAAGTGCATGGATCTCTATGACATTTTTTAAGAAGGTTCAATACCACAAAAGGAAGGTTGTGATTGATTTTGGGGATGATGGTCCCAACTGTTTAGGAATTAGGGGCCCAAAACAAGCATTTTTCTAGTTTCAGGATAATAACTTGTGTATAAGTATTTCTATTGCTCTGAAATTGTACCACAATGTTTAATACCACAAGTAGAAGGTTTGGATTCATTTTAGGGGTTATGGAGCCAACAGTTTAGGAATTAAGAGCCAAAAAGGGGTCAAAAACAAGCATTTTTCTAGTTTCCAGACAATAACTAGTGTGTAAGTGTATGGATATCTTTGACATTGTACCACAAGGTTTCATATAACAAAGGGAAGGCTGGGATTGAGTTTGGGGTTAATTGCCCCAATTATGTAGGAATTAGGGGCCAAAAAAGGGCCAAAAACAAGCATTTTTCTAGTTTCCAGACAATAACTTGTGTGTAAGTGTATGGATCACTCTGAAATTGTACTACAAGGTTCCATACTACAAAGGAAAGGCTGGGATTGAGTTTTGGGGTAATTGCTCCAAGGGGGGGTTTCAAAAAGTTGGGGGAGGGGGGAATTTTTTTCCAAATTTTTTTAAGGGATTCATATTTTTTTTTCAAAATTTTTTAAATTTTGAATTTTTTAAAAGTTTCAAGAAGAAATCTTCAATTTCACAGTATTGGGCAATGGATTTATAAGATCTTTGACCATATTTATTTTGTGTCAGAAACCTATATTATGTCAAAAATTTGATCACAATCCAAATTCAGACAGTATCAAGCTTGAATATTGTGTCCAAATTTGCCCCAACTGTTCAGGGTTTGACCTCTGCGGTCGTATCAGGCTGTGCTCAGCAATGCATTTTATTAAAAATTGGGTGATCAAAATTTCAGTTGGGAATGTTACTGTCTTTATGTTTAGATTGTAATACAAAACCAATTAACAAAAAAAACCAAACATTCAGATTATGAAACTGGCTGTTTGTTTGACACTGACTTTGGTGCACATTGGAGTTTGTTCAATATTGATTAAAGATCATTAGTACATATGCAATATAAATGTTGATGTGATAAAAAACCTATATAATACTTTCGAAGAAAGAACAAATATTTAACAAAAGGAAACTGGTGGCAGGACATCCAAGTAGTTAGTAATTTTTGGGATTTGTGTTCCCGAGTTTAAATGTTAATGAGAATTCAACTACACTTGAAACATGTATGCCAGATCTCAAGAAGGGACGTTTTTGTTTTCATATTTTCATATTTTTAAAGATTTCTCATTTCTTTGATTGTATAATATTATGGTCTTAAGCATCACTGTAGAGACATTAATTGTTGAAATTTGCATATGTTGCACTAAAGTTGGTACTGTTAATATTTTAACTGGATTTTAGAACACAATCTATCTACTAAGCTTCATGAACATAATTAATTGTATTACTGTAGTGATTTGTTATGCCTTTACATGTGAGTGCGCTGGTTTTTAAATCCTGTTCGCAGGTTGTTATAACAGTCATTTCAACCTTATTAGTCAGGATAAGTGGAAACAATGGAAAAGATAAGCTAATGCTTTATTGGGCATTTTTATGCCCCTGCCGTAGCAGTTGGGGCATTGAATTTTACCATTGTCCGTCCTTTATGTATGTCCCGAAATTGGTTTCTGTTCTCTAACTTTAGTTTGCCTCAACCAAATGTTATGAAACTTATACACAATGCTTATTACCACAAAACACAGATCTAGATTGAATTTTGGTGGCATCACTTATACTGTTTTATAGTTATGCCCCTTTACAAATGGAAAAATTGGTGAATTTTACGTTTCCGTTCTCTAACTGAAGTTTGCCTCAACCAAATGTTATGAAACTTATACCCAATGCTAGTTACCACAAAACACAGATCAAGTTTGAATTTTGGTGGTGTCATTTTTACCATTCTAGAGTAATACCCCTTTACAAATGGAAAAATTGCTGAATTTTTCATTTCTGTTCTCGAACTTAAGTTTGCCTGTACCAAATGTTATGAAACATATAATCTTTGCTTATCACCACAAAACACAAATCAAGTTTGAATTTTGTTGGCATCACTTTAACCGTTCTAGAGTTATGCTCCTTTACAAATGGAAAAATTGCGGAATTTTTCGTTTCTGTTCTCTAACTTAAGTTTGCCTGTACCAAATGTTATGAAACCTATGAACAAAGCTTATCACCACAAAACACAAATCAAGTTTGAATTTTGATGGCGTCACTTTAACCGTTCTAGAGTTATGCCCCTTTACAAATGGAAAATTTGCTGAATTTTTCGTTTCCGTTCTCTAACTTATGTTTGCCTGTACTAAATGTTATTACACTTATTCACAATGCTTATTTCCACAAAACTCAATTCAAGCACGAATTTGGGTAGCGTGACTTAAACCGTTCTTGAGTTATGTTCCTTTATAACGTTTTATGCAAGCGGGGGCATCATCTATGTCCCATGGACACATTCCCCATTGATTGTCTTTGATTTATTCATGTATTTTATATAATTTTTATTAAAGTTTATTCTTAAATGAAGCATAAAAATTAAGCAAATACTAATATTTCATGCCACTGCAGTCTGTTTAATATAGTTTTGAATTCATTGCATCTCCAGAAACAAAAAAAAACATGAATGCTAGCCTGCCTGCCTGTTGTGAAGGATTTTAGGTATTTCTTCATCTTTTTATGCCCCCCGCTGTAAGGGAGGGGACATTAAGTTTTACCGTTGTCCTTCCGTACGTCAATCCATACGTCCCAAAGTTGGTTTCCGTTCTCTTACTTTAGTTTGCCTCAACCAAATGTTATGAAACTTATACACAATACTTAATACCACATAACACAGATCAAGTTTGAATTTTGGTGGCATCACTTTAACTGTTCTAGGGTTATGCCCCTTTACAAATGGAAAAATTGCTGAAATTTACGTTTCCCTTTTCTAACAAGTTTGCCTCAACCAAATGTTATAAAACTTATACACATTACTTATTACCACAAAACTCGGATTGAGTACAAATTTGGGTAGTGTCACTTTTATCGTTCTTCAGTTATGTTCCTTTATAACTTGATATGATATGCAAGCGGGGGCATCATCTGTGTCCCATGGACACATTCCCCGTTTATTTTTTGAATAGAATAAAGTTTTTAGTATTTGATTCAGTTTACCTTGGAAAAACATCACACTCCATTATTAACTTTACAAACCTTATTATAGTACCCCATAATAAAAGAATTAGCTTATTGATACACTCACTCACCAAGGTTGAAAGGACCTATTGTTAAGTTTGTGAGTGTTGTAACCATCATTACTCATGATTCCAATAAAATGCACTAAAACTATGCCAGATTAAAAAGATCATTAACCTAACAGGACTTTTTCACCTGAGCTGCGTCAGATAGAAATCGACCATATGCAAGTGCACATATACATGTACATATATAAGACTGATTGATTTTGGAACTTTCAAATACGAAATAAAAGATAAATTTTGGTCTGTTTTGTAGGATTCTTATATCAACTTAATGTTCAAACAGTAGCAGATAGAGAGTTGTCTCATTGGCACGCATACCACATCTTCTTATATCTATTTGCAAAGACATTTTTTTCAACCTGAAATAGGTTAACAGATGAAGTGATATTCATTTGCATAAGTTCGATTTCTATCTGATGCAGCTCACCTGTAAATAAACTTGTTTGGTTACAATGAGTCTCACCAATGAAATAAGACTTACTGTTCATTTATTCTTATTCTTTGGCTAACAATTTTCTTTGGTATATATAAACCACAAATTTAAATGTTCAACAAAGTATGATATGCTTGTATGCAGACTTTAGCAAAATACCAAATCAAATATCCACGACAACATACTTTTACTTCCATCCGCAAAATAGTATCCACAAAAATAACTGAATCCACAGTTAACATACAGAATACAAATTATATTTATTTCATTTTAGCCTGGAATCAATTTGCATTTTGGAAATCACTTAACATAAATGTAAATGAATCTTTTTTGTACTAGAAATATAGAATGTCAGCTGCATAATAAATTCACTGGTTATTATTATTTATAAGTGCTTATCATATTTTAAGATGATCTAAAGAATAGAAAACAAACTTGAAATAAACACAAAATATATGTCTATGTTGTTGTTTGTTGTTTTATTTTAAGTCCTATGATTGACTGTTAATGTTTTACCCCCAGCAGCCCAAAAAGACTAAATAGAGGGGGATGAACATGAAAATGAAAAGGTGATAAGATGGGATGCAATAGGGGAACAAACATCATCGGCCAAGTGAAATATATGGAGGGTTCAGTTAGGTTGGAATATTTAGCCTCAGGAATGGTCCATAATGAGCCTAGTCTTAAAAATTTGGCTTGAGGAGTATTTATTGTGCTAGGAAAGTTGCAAACTCCAGAGATAGGTTGCATATACATCCTGCATTCATACCCCTCAGTTGGAGAAACTGGGATCAATTTCTATACTGAGAGTTCCCTTTTTAGGTACTTAATTTCTATCGGAAAACTATTAGAATTTCAAGGCAAAAATAATGTAGCACATGCTGCTTTGAAATATTAAAAGTACACCTCATTATTGCACAAATGATATTTGTTACACTATTTGATATATAAAAAAGGAGATGTGGTATGATTGTTGTTCATGAACAGATATATAATTATTTCATTTAATGATAGAATGACTACTCATTCCTTACTATGTTTTTTTTCAAATCAACAACATAAAAGCTAATAAAAGATTTCTTCAAGAAAATACAACCACCAACCAATTCAATCTTTATGCTTGTCTCAGGAAGTAACAACCTTAGTTTTTGTAATTTTATAAAAGCCATCAGCTGAGAATTTATCAAAATGTATGTGAGAGAGAGAGAAAAAAACATGGTAGATGATACTTTAGTATACTAAAACTTACCCTAAAACTCCACCAGTAGTAAAATAAGTCATATTGATTTAGCTGCATTCAGTGCACATATCTGAATTATCTTTATAGAAGAAACCATGTCTACTAATTTGTTGAGTCGAGCCAATCAGTATGGATGTTTTAGCATGAACCCCTTTATTAGTACTCTTGGTTGTTTGTTTGTAAAGCTTTCATTATCCTTCCGTTTTAAGATTCAGTCTGGTATTTAGCATAGTGGTACAGAAGCTGGTGACGATTTGTTATCTTTTGCAGGATGGTTACTTGATTAAAATCTCTTCATAGTCCTATTGCGTTTTTGTGGTACTTTGGTATGACAAACATTTTTTTTATACCACCACAGGTAGTATTTATATGTTATGGTGGTGTCTGCGTCTGCATCTGAATACATTTTGATTCACAGACAATAACTTGAGTAAAAGTTCATGGATCTCTATGAAATTTTAGCACAAGGTTCCATACCAGTAAAGGATGGTTGGGATTGTTTTTGGGCGCTATTGTCCTTGTGGTTTTGTAATTAGGGGCCAAAAAAGGTCAGTTTGACTGGTTCATCGAAAATAAATTGTTTCGCAGACAATAACTTTAGTGTAAGTGTATGGATGTGTAAGAAATATTAGTACAAGGTTCCATACCACAATAGGAGGTTTAGGATTCATTTTGGGGTTATTGTCTTAGCTGTTTTGTAATTAGGGGCCAGTAAGGGGCCAAAAACAATTAGTTGTCTGGTTTTAAGACAATAACTTGAGTATAAGAGATATTTCTTTGGTCAAAATTTTAACACAAGGTTCCACACCACAATAGGAAGGATGGGATTAATTTTTGGGGTTACTGTCATAGCTGTTTAGGAATTAGGGACCAAAAAGGGTCTAACTAAAACAATTTTTTGTCAGATTCACAGACAATAACTTGAATATAAGTGTATGGATGTCTATTACATTTTAGCACAAGGTTCCATACCACAATAGGAAGGTTTGGATTTATTTTGGGGGTTATTGTCGTAACTGTTTAGGAATTAGGGGCCAAAAACAAGCATTTTTCATGTTTCAGGACAATAATTGGTGTATAAGAGTATAGATTTCTATGAAATTTTACCACAAGGCTCCATACTTCAAAAGGAAAGTTTCGAATGATTTTTTAAAGGGTCATGGCCCATGCTGTTCAATAATTTGGGGTCGATAAGGGGCAGAAAACAACTATTTTTCTGGTTTGCAGGCAATAACTTGAGTATAAGTGTATGGATTTCTATTCAATTTTAGCACAAGGTTCCATACCACAATAGGAAGGTTGGGGTTTATTTTGGGGGTTATTATAGTAGCTGTTTAGGAATTAGGGACCAAAAAGGACCTAACAAAAACAATTATTTGTCTGATTCACAGACAATAACTTGAGTATAACTGTATAGATCTGTATTAAATTTAAGCACAAGGTTCCATTCCACAATAGGAAGGTTGGGATTTATTTTGGGGGTTATTGTTATAGCTGTTTAGTAATTAAGGACCAAAAAGGGGTCAAAAACAAGCATTTTTCATGTTTCAGGACACTAATTTGTGTATTAGAGTATGAAATTTTACTACAAGGTTTAATACTTCAAAAGGAAAGTTTGGATTGATTTTAGGGGTCATGGTTCAAACTGTTTAATAATAAGGGACTGAAAAGGGGCCAAAAAAACTAGGATTTTCTGATTTCTGGACAATAACTTGAGTATAAGTCTATCCATTGCTATTTAATTGTGCCACAAGGTGTTATACCATAAAATATTGTTTGGGATTGATTTTAGGGGTTATGACCCTATTGGGTTAGTTAAAAGGGGCCAGACCAATACTTTGCATAAATTGCTTATTTTTTTAACAATTTAAATGGGGTTTATTTCAAAAGTCTTCAATTCTTGGAAGTCTTTAATATGCTGAATCTAATTGGGTATTTAATATTTGGATTTTAGGGTCTGTTTTTGAATGATTCATATTAAGGTCCAAAGGGTCCAAAATTAAACTTTGTTTGATTTCTATAAAAAATAAATAATTGGTGTTCCTTGATATGCTGAATCTAATTGTGTATTTAGATTTTTTTTATTTTGAGGCCTGTCTTCAAATTGGTCCACATAAAGGTCCAAAGGGTCCAAAATACAACTTTTTTTAATTAAAAAAAAAATTTAATTATTGGGGTTTTTTGATATGCTGAATCTAAGCGTGTAGTTAGATTTTTTATTTGGGGCATGGTCGGCCCACATTAAGGTCCAAAGGGTCCAAAATTAAACTTTGTTCGATTTAAAAAAAAAAATTCAGAGATGTTATTGGACAATTAACTGAAATTTTAAGTTGGGTCATAGTTGAAAATATATATAACATCATATCTAATATTAGAGAACTATTTTTGTGTTTACATCACTGGTTCATGGCAAATAAATTGGCTCACAGACAATAACATTAGTATAAATGTATGGATGTGTAAGAAATTTTAGCACAAGGTTCCATACCACAATAGGAGGGTTGGGATATTAAAGAGTTAATCAAGCTTTACATTTATAGATTTATTACAGAATTTTTAAATTGAGTCATAGTTTAAAATAGATTTGCTGATTCAGATAGGTATATTAATTGTGGTGATAATTGTGTATGCATTGTGTTCTATTTAAAGATTGTTAACATGTTTGAATATTTTGTTATGGTTAAAACTTCCCTTGGATATTAAAAGAGACCTTTGTCCATCTGTTGAAGTGGAAGTCTAGGTAAGTGAAGTTTTGAAATACAATTGTGCCATACATTATGTTATGTTACATCTTAATAAAGAAAAATGTTGTTTTTAGATAATAATCTATTTGTATTAAAGGATATATTTCACTACAATACATTGTGTAGATAAAGTTGTTGACATTGATAGATAAGTTGTAGATATTAGTTAGTTGCAAATGAAAGAAAAAATATTGGGAACTATTAATTATATATAAAGTTTTGGCAAAGTATATTACCTGGACTGGACTGGACTCTTGGAAAATTTATTTGCCTTCTTTAAATTTTGTTGTTGTTTGTTTTCCAGTATGATAACTGTGAAATACCATGCCCAGACTGAAAAGAAAATCTACATTAATGATAAGAAATGATCGTAAAATCAATTACACAATTATAATTGGAGTGACAGATTTATTTGAAAATTTTGTGTTTCCTAAGTGTAGTTGATGATATTAAGCTCTGTAGGACAGTATAAATATAGTTTGAAATTTACTGTTCATTATCAGATATTTTGAAGATAAGATTTTTTAAATACATTGTACTAATTAATATAATGATGACTGATATTTTGGAAATTATTTTTTCCTTTTCTTTGGTAAATTGTTTGAAGAATTTTGTTTGTTACTCTGTACAGAGACATATAAACATATATGTGTATATATGTCTCTGTTCTGTATAAATTAATTTTCTGAATGCTATATATATTTTGGGGGCATTAAGTTTTACCCTTCTCTGTCTAAGTCCGTCTGTATGTCCGTACGTCCCAAAATTGGTTTCCGTTCTCTAACTTTAGTTTGCCTCAACCAAATACTATGAAACTTATACACAATGCTGATTACCACAAAAAACAGATCAAGTTTGAATTTGGGTGGCATCACTTTTACAGTTCTAGAGTTATGCCCCTTTACAAATGGAAAAAAATGCCTAATTTTTTGTTTCTGTTCTCTAACTTTAGTTTGCCTCAACCAAAAATGTTATGAATCTTATACACAATGCTAATTACCACAAAACACAGATCCAGTTTGAATTTTGGTGGCGTCACTTTTACCGTTCTAGAGTTATGCCCCTTTACAAATGAAAAAAAAATCAGCATTTCCGTTCTCCAACTTTAGTTTGCCTCAACAAAATATTATGAAACTTTTACACAACGCTTATTACTACAAAACACAAATCAAGTTTGAATGTTGGTGGCGTCACTTTTACCGTTCTAGAGTAATGCCCCTTTACAAATGGAAAAATTGCTGAATTTTTCGTTTCCGTTCTCTAACTAAAGTTTGCCTCAACCAAACGTTATGAAACTTATGCACAATGCTGATTACCACAAAACACAGATCAAGTGTGAGTTTTGGTGGCGACACTTTTACTGTTCTATAGTTGTGCCCCTTTACAAATGGAAAAATTGCTGAAAGTTTTCGTTTCCGTTCTCTAACCGTTAAAGTTTGCCTCAACCAGGGACTTTCTATACTAACTTATAGAGTT